TGCACCCTTGACAAAGGGAGGTCAGCCCGGAGAGGGAGAAAGGTCGTCAGCCCAACCTGCTGGGCCTGCGTCTTCGCCCGAGGAAGCGTCTGTTCCAGTAGGAAGCGTCGGAAAAGCAGCTGAGGCCGGGAACTCGAGGGACCACCTGCCCCTAGTAGCCAAGGGACACCCGACGGCAAAAAGTGCGGACCCCCCGAGGGAGCCAATATGTGTGCCCCCGCGAAGGGCAACCCGAAGTACCGCCGGGTCTAGGAAGAGCAGTAAGTCTAGGACAACTGTGGAGGTTACAACGCCGAGCACAAGCGCCCGAGGCCAGGGCCGAAGAAAGGGCAGAGCGCCCTCCTCCACCACCTCGAATATCAAAGGCGCCCAAGTGCCGCCTCTGGACCTTTCTCGTCCAGGTGACCAAATGCCACTTCGAGGGAAGAACCCACCGGTCCGACTGGAGGAAGTAGAAGATGAAGAGGCCTACCTTCGGTCCGACATACCAGTCGTCACCCCTAGGAGACCATCGTCCCCCGCCGTGTCTCTCACCGCGAATGCCAACGACAAGAAGGTGTTCGCGGCGATGTATTACGAGCCCCATGGTATCCTGTGGACCCGGCGGGCCTTACGGATTGCTCGAGGAGATGCAGCAGCTCGCGCCGTCCTAAACGGATGGATACACCCTCGTCGACGTGAAGAGGTCACTGACCAGTTGTGTCGTCAGCTAGAAGAACAGACGGAGACCGCCGCTCAGGCTAGGGAAAAGTGGCAGTGGATGGAGGATCTGCAGAAGCCCCCCATGTACATACGGGGGAGAAAAGGACGTAACGTATCAATAAAGGTGCAGTTGGAAACGCTGGATACGAGAGAGACTCATGCGGTAAGCGCCCTAGTGGACAGTGGCGCTACCGGAAGTTCAATCGACCGGGCCTGGGCGCAAGCCCGTGACCTCAACCTAAAGAAAGCGGCGCGACCCGTCCCGGTTTACAATGCCGACGGCACCCGTAACAAAGGAGGGGATATTACCGAATATGCCGAGGTACGGCTACGCATAGGGGACCACGTGGAACGGATCGAACTAGCCGTAGTCGATCTAGGCTCCACCCCCCTGTTCCTCGGGCATGATTGGCTACAACGCCATAATCCACTCATTGACTGGGACACCGGGGCAGTCACCTTGGCCCGGTGTACCTGCCGGAAAATTCCGTTCTCTCTTCCTGATACCGACCCTTCCGCGCGATGGGATGAGTATGAAGAAGGAGATACCATCCTGGTAATAGACTTCGAAGAGGCCTTTCATGTACGGGCCATGGGAACACGGGCCAACGAATTGGCCGCCCAGGCTAACGCCAAGAAGGACGTCAAGTCATTCGAGGACATAGTGCCCGAAGAATATCGAGACTTCAAAGATATCTTCGATAAGGAAAACTTTGACGAACTTCCCCCACGCAAACCCTGGGACCACGCCATCGAGCTCATTCCCAACGCTAACGCCAATCTCGACTGCAAGGTCTACCCCCTCAACCCGGCGGAGCAGGAGGAGTTAGACAAATTTTTGGACGAAAACCTGACCACCGGGCGCATTCAGGCCTCGAAATCTCCGATGGCCTCTCCCTTCTTCTTCGTTAAAAAGAAGGATGGGAAGTTGCGACCTGTCCAGGATTACCGAAAACTTAATGAGATGACTATCAAGAACCGTTATCCATTACCGCTCATCGGGGAACTCATGGACCGGCTGAAAAAGGCCAAATACTTTACCAAACTGGATGTCCGGTGGGGCTACAATAATGTACGAATCAAAAAGGGGGATGAATGGAAGGCCGCTTTCCGAACTAACCGCGGCCTCTACGAGCCCCTCGTCATGTTCTTCGGGCTCACCAATTCTCCGGCTACCTTCCAGTGGATGATGAACGACATCTTCAAGGATCTCATCACCGCGGGGGAGGTATCCGTATATCTGGATGACATCCTCATCGCTTCTAAAACCAAGGCGGAGCACAAGAGGATTGTACGGAAGGTCCTCCAGATCTTACGAGAAAATAACTTGTTCCTCAAAGCGGAGAAGTGCGAATTCGAAGTAGAGGAAACCGAGTATTTGGGAGTAATCATCAGTGAGGGAAAGATTCGCATGGATCCCGTCAAAATCGCGGGCCTCTTGGATTGGCCGGTCCCTCGTAGGAAGCAAGAGTTGCAGTCCTTCCTCGGGTTCTGTAACTTTTATAGACGGTTCATTCGTGACTATAGCAAGCATGTCCGACCACTGACGATGCTTACCGGAAAGCAGGAGTGGGCGTGGGGGGAGGCCCAGCAGAAAGCATTCGAGAAACTTAAAGAGCTATTCCGGGAGGACGTGGTATTAGCCATACCCCTCGATCAAGGACGATTCCGAGTAGAGGCAGACTCCAGCGAGGGGGCGATAGGAGCCGTACTTTCGCAATGGCAGAATGAGAAGTGGCGACCAGTCGCGTTCTTGTCCAAGGCGCTTTCCGTTACAGAGCGCAATTACGAGATCTACGACAAGGAATTGCTCGCCATTATGATCGCCCTTGAAGAATGGCGCCAATATCTCATGGGAGCCCGGGAAGATTTCGAGATTTGGACGGATCATTCCAACCTCCAGTACTTCCGCAAACCCCAGAAACTCAACCGACGACAAGCCCGTTGGGTGACTGAGTTGGCGGAATACCAGTTCAGTTTGCACCATAAACCCGGGGCTCAAAATCGCAAAGCCGACCTCTTGTCAAGAAGGGCGGATCACGACCAGGGGAAGGAGGACAATCGGGATGTAGTGGTCCTTAAAGCGGAACACTTTAGGGCCCTGATAATGCCAACCACGGAGGACTTACACGAGAGGATCAAGGCGGCTACACATGATTCTCGCCACTGGGACAGAGGCATTTCGGACTCCCTCAACCATGAAAAGGGGATCTCCCAGGAACAAGAAATGTTATGGTATGACGGACGAATCTACGTTCCCGTCAACCGGGAACTTCGGGGGCAAATCATCGCCCTCAAGCATGATCACGTCACCGCCGGCCATCCAGGCATCGAAAAGACCAAAGAGTTGGTACTCCGCGACTACTGGTGGCCCCGCATGCGAAGAGACGTGGAGACGTATGTGAAAGGCTGCGAGGTCTGCCAACGTACCAAGGCCGACCGCCGTCCGAAGAAGGCTCCCCTTCATCCAAACGAGACACCGACACGACCCTGGACGCACATTTCAGTCGATATGATCACTAAACTTCCGACTTCCAAGGGATTCGACTCTATCCTCGTCATCGTGGACCGCTTTTCTAAAGCCATTATCCCCATTCCTTGCACTGAAGAACTTACCTCTCTCGGATTCGCCAAAATCTTAAGGGATTATGTTTATGTGCCCTACGGCGTAATGCCCGAGAAAGTAATCTCGGACCGAGGATCGGTATTCGTGTCCAAATTTATGAAGGAGTTCTATCGACTGCTTCATGTCGAGGGAAATCCCTCGACCGCGTATCACCCACAAACCGACGGGCAAACGGAGAGGGTTAACCAGGAGATTGAGAAGTACTTGAAGATGTTCGTAAACGACAGGCAAGACGATTGGAGTGAATGGCTACCGCTGGCGGCCTTCACTCACAATAATCGCCAACACTCGGCGACGGGGTACTCCCCCTATCGAGTTATCTTTGGAAGGGATGGAGAAGTCATTAAGAAGCCTCAGCGAGCCACAAGCGTCCCAGCGGCGGGAAAGCTCGCGGAAGAAATAGAAAAGGCACAAAGCGAAGCAAAAAGTCATTGGAGAAGGCGGCCGAATCCATGAAGAAGGCCTATGACAAACGCAAGGACGCCGCCGTGGAATACCAGGTCGGAGACAAGGTCTGGCTCGACGCGACTAATCTTCACCTCCCAAGACCAACCAAGAAACTCGGGGACCGTCGAGTCGGACCCTTCGCTATTATCGCAAAAAAAGGGGCCTCCGCCTACGAGTTGAAATTGCCGGTGAAGTGGAAAATTCACAACCGCTTCAACGAGTCACTACTAACACCCTATGTGGCCCCCGCCTTTCCCAATCAACCACGACCTGAACGACCACCCCCAGAGCTTATCGAAGATGAAGAAGAATACGAGATCGAAGAGATCGTGGAACAGCGGGACAAGGTCATCGGCCGTGGACGCACCCGTCGCACCATAACCGAGTACCTAGTTAAGTGGAAGGGTTACCCGAGGGAGGAGAACTCCTGGGTCAAACGTTCGGACATGGCCAATGCGGAGGAGCTAGTAAACGAATATGAGGCGCATCTCCAAAGGATTCATTGGGAGATTAACAAGTATGGACGAACGGTGGGAAAAGAGGACAAAATACCACCGAACGCGAAAACACCCTACCATGACCCAGATACCCCATGCGTCACGGACGTCGAAACGGTTTACTCCTCCGAATGCACAAACCCGAGACACTCCCACGCACAATCTTCAGTAGCGATGCGGGAAGTAACCACGGAGGAGGCAGAAGGAATACCCATCGTCAAAGAAACACAAGACGATGAAGACTCTAACCTAGAACTCGAAAACCTACAAAGAGTACACGAGAACTGGGACTTCGACTCCGACGATGACGAAGATGACGATACTTGGTCCTTTTACAGCCAATCCGCACAGAGTGGGGAGACTCAGGATTCATTCGGGACGAACGAATCTTAAAGGGGGGGTAATGTTACGGTTTATTCATTTCTTTTCTTTATTCTTTTCTTTTTTCTTTTCTTACGCATTTACGCTTACGCTATGTTGCTGCGGGACTGCGGTTCTGATCGGATGTTCTCGCAGTACTATTCTTAGTCTGTACCAACGTGTATTTAAGTAGAGCCTTAGCTGGATTGAACCCCAGCTTCGGCTAAGGTTTATTCTACCTAACATCGAAACTCCGTTCTTCTGACTAAGTGTCCCATTCACTTTCGTCGCCTTTGACCTGTTAGTGCATCGACTACCGAAGTGCGAGTAGCGATCCTAGCACGATCTAAGTCGATTAGAGTTAGTGGCTAACACACGAGTACTGAGTAATTGCTATCGGGATTTTGGGAATAGGCTGGAGTCGAAGGAAGAAGCTCATCCTTAGCTTGACTGGAGGTGGCCTCATCCAAATAGAGTGGAGAATTGCGTACATTGGGCTGTGCAGGAGAGGAATACAATGCAGAGGCAGAGATGGTAGGACCGTGAAAAGTAGGCGAGCCTTGTCCTCGTGAATTCTGACTCTGCCGTGCCAAAGGTGAAGGAGTATGTGTGGCAATCGGTGGGATAGAGGGGGATGCATGTGTCTGAGTCTGAGTCTGAGTCGATGCCAAAGGATGAGTCTGAAGGGAAGTGTGGCGCTTAGAATCTGGTGGTGATTGTCGTTGGGAAGTACTGTTGGGTGATGGGTTCTGTGATGGAGGAAGGGATGAGAGGGCACTTAGAGCGTCGTCATCATCGTCACCAGCATCAGACCAGTCCTGATCAAGTCCAGGCACAAGGGACATAGCAGAGCCATCTGTAAGTACATAGTGGTCGAGTGGATCTGTGGATTGGTGAATGAATATCACATTTGATCTATAGATTGAAAAAAATGTGTACCTAGAGCCAGTGGCCAACATGAAACGCCAACACTATGCATAAGGAAATTGGGCGGCCCATTGGAAAAAATTTTGAAGAGTGGTACTGACACTCAGTCAGAGAAGAGTACATGGCTGAGTTCAATAAAAAAAGGAAGACATACCCCACCACCCACAGCCATCATGTTTACCGTTAGGACATACCAAAGCATATTTCCCAACATTTCTGGGAAGGGACCCAGCACCACAGCGAATGACTTGCAACAGGACATACTCCTCAGGTCTACCTTGACGAGGTCCACAGATGCATGATCCGAGCTGGATATTGGTATGAAGTTTCTACCATTATGTTCATTGTTAGCCAAAGAGCGCTTGACACAGGCAGCGACTAATAATGACTAACCATATGTCCATTGAGTTTTCGCACAGGAACTGGGAGCAAGACGCCTTTTTTGTTTTTGGTGGCTGGGCTATAAGACGCAATGAGAGTAATGAGAGGAGAGAAGAGAAACGGCCAGAAGAAAAACATACTAAGGAGCTGCAATGATAGTATGTCGGTGAGGGTCATAGGTGCATAATGTGCCATAGTTGATAATGTTGCTAACAGCCGTTGAACGAAAGTTGATTTCTTCAAGACCAGGTGCCGACATGTTAGACAAGAGCAGTTAAGTCTGAGTGTTAGGTAGGATATGGGTTATCATTGGTGACGACTATGGGGGTGGTTTATATAGAAAGCAAGGAGGATATTTCCCTCTCCCAAATGTAAATTCCAAAATGCTGAGGTGGTGGGTATTTCGGGTGGGTGGACGGACTGAGACTGATACAGGTCGAGTCAAGAAGTCGTCCTTATGACACATTTCCTGCGAAAATCGAGTTGGATGATGTTAGACAGAAGTTACGTGCGGATGGATGTTCAGAGGAAAGAGATGGTCCAACAGATTCTCTTTTCACTGGATGAATGGTAACCAGTGGCAATGTGTAGCAAGATCTTTCTGGTCTGCATGAAATGAATAGCGCCAAGATGATTATCTGAGATCGTTGATGACGTTGGTAGAGGCAGGCAGGTGGTGGTAGCGGATATGAACGGTCGATAGAATCTCTGGTCTGAGCATATCAGAGTTTCAGACACATTATGAATGAGGATGGAGGTTACATGCCTTGATAAGGTATCGCAAACCAGCGCAAACCAGCAGTAATCAAAGGCGGACTAGGCCCTTCCGCTTGACTACCCAACAAGCTGAGACAAGTTGTGCCAGCGGATTCTGGTAGATGCCGCGTAGAAGTTTTGAAGAAAAAGTTTGTGTGGCATTAATTGAGACAGACTATCGTTGAAAAGAAGTTGGACCCCGGAATTGGATTGGCACTGTGGAAGTGCTGATAGATATCAACTAGACATACTGGTATATGTCTGAAGGATGTACATGAAAAGCCATAGTGCTTATGAGATAAGGGTGCAGATAGAAAACGACAGGAGTAGCGCAGAAGGACAGAAGGAGAGGAGTATAAGAAGTGGTGCGCTGGTACAGCGGGTTTGCACACAAGTAAACAGCCACCATGTCACCATGTGTCAGCAACAAGAGCTACATAACAGACAGAAATAGTATTTGATGCGCTCTGCTCAAAGAGGGAAAGATATCCCGCCTCCGCTCGTCTGTCCCGCCTTCCAAGTCAAGAGTTTGTGGTTGTGTGGTTGTGGCCTCTACCGGGGCTTCTTCTCCGCCCGGAACGGACCGCCGGCTTCTGGGACCTGTGCCTGAAACCTAATCGGATTGGTAGCCATCGACCTTAGACTCAGACGAAAGTCCAAGAAGAACTGGCAAGTATTTACGTTACCTTCAACGATTAGGGCATTCGAGCTTAGCTCTCCACGAGTAAATAAAATAAACTAGAAACGGAAATGTCTCAGCTGAATATCTGCCCCTCCATTCCTCTCCTTCTCCCAATGTGGGTCAGGACAGTTACAGATGGAGTCGAACGTCGCCAGGTAAAATCTTTCTAGCATGTCTAGTTCTACTATGTCCGTTACAGCCTTACAATTCAACTTTCCCCCGTTACATTCTATGTCCAAAGCTCGGAGGGCCCTTGATTGCGGTATGTGCTGAAATAGAACATTATCCACCGGGTCTCTGTCTTTGTCCCCTCGGTCAAACTTGAGGTTTAGACGTTCTAGCGCTGGTGTAGCATCGAGAATGTCAATGATACCGATAGTGGAAAGGGGTAGATAATATAACTGGAGTTCCCGGATCATTGCTGAGCGAAGGCATGAGAGAATCGATGAATGACAGCCATTCCAATTTTGACCATTTAAGTCGTCTATGCACTCAATGCATAATACTCTGAGCGCTACCACATCTAGTGACTCCAAAAAGTGTCCAAAGCATGCCTCGGAGCCTAAAGTCACTCTCAACGTCAAGCTGAGACGTTGGAGCTTCGCCATTGAGATGCGTGTCGGATCGGGCCCTGAGGTGAAGGAGCACATTGCATTGAATGAACAGGTTATGAGGTTCTCGCCTTCTGATAGGATGTCAAAGATTTCATCTAGCGTAGGAAGCTCTTTCACCGCGCAATCTAGGCGGACATGTAGCTCTGAGAGCCGGCTCCATTGAATCCCTAATGAGCGCAAGGCTACACGATGTGACGGCCAAACTCCTCTCATATCAAGCGTCAGTACTTCAAGGGAATGAAGCCCAGAAGCCCGTGATTGATCTGTAAAGAGAGGGAGGACACTAGCGCCAGGTGTCACGAACCTCACTTTCTGCCACCGGGACGAGTAATGGAGCAGAGCTTTCACAACAGTCGTGCTCTGGTCCTGAAAGGCACGACACGTCGTATGGGTAGGTGGTTCATAGATAATGTTAAAGGATAATGGTTGCTCCTCAGAATACTTGAGCCAAAACTCCAGCGCTTCTAGCCGCGGCACGGCGTAACCACTGTGGAAATCAATTTCGAAGGAAGACCACAGGCTGGAGACAGAGAGAGCTAGTGCCCTCCAGGATCTGCAGACGTGTGTGAGAAGTACTGGGGCTGCGCCCCCATGTAGGCTGGGGTAGGAGTCGTCAGGGAGGCAGTGGAGAAATATGTCAATGATAAGCTCAGAAGGGAGCCGTACGACTGGATCATCCATGGGAGATTGTGCAGAGCTTGGCCTTTATAAAGTCGAGACTCAAAAAACGATAGAGAGATGATGGTTGAACAACTTACCTCTTGTAGAGAGGATTGGAGCGAAAGAATTATGGGAGTCTATAGGAGAGGAAAGTTTGTCTCGTCATTTATATCGCTACCCACAGGTATGATCGCAGGATCCTCGGATAATCGAAACTAAGCAGTGACTAGACGCCTCTTGATCCGCTACAGCCACTACCTAGATTTTCCCACTAGCACCGCTCGAAGGGAACCAGGAGGGCGTACGAGGATAGACACGCGTATATACTGCTTGTATTATCTTACCTACGAGCAAGATAACATACAAAACAATGTCCAAAACTCTGGAACCACCAGACGAGCGCGGCGATACAAGCTTCAATACGATGCCATCATCAAAAACGATGGAAGCAAAACAAATGCACATGAAGAAGTTAGAATCAGCGGCAGACGCCATAGTGAAAGACTACGGCAGAGCGGTAGAAGTAGAAGGTGCTGCTGCGAGTGCTATGTCTGATGTCGTGGCCGTGCTACGACATATGTGCAAAAATGAGATGAAACCGACAAAGACCTTAACGGTGGAACAACATCGCACCGTGGCTAATGCAGTCGACATCCTAGAAGCATGGATGGACCTTGGGGAGTACAAGGCAGCCCAAGACACGATGGCGTTTGCGAGTCTGATGAACGACAATTTTAAATCTTTGCAGGAGACATCGAATACACGCAAAACAACAGCAGAAACCTAGAACATCAATGACGAAGCCGGACAAAATAGAGATGATCAAGGCAGTGCGATTTCCACCCCGCTGGAAATCAAGGGTTAAGACCGAGACTGCGGAATCAATGGAGGAGGTAATGGCAATGGAGAGGACGGACAACAGCGATGTAAAGGCATACGGAGACGGATCAGGTATAGATGGCGGTATAGGAGCTGCAGCAGTGTTATCTCGAGGTGGGAGGAAGATGAAGACATTGAGGCTGAGGGTGGGCTCAGCAAAGAAGCACGAGGTATATGATGGTGAAGGTCTAGCACTAACCTTATGCACGGAACCACTCCGAAGTTTGACAAATGTGGGAAGTGCAACGTTCAGCATCGACAACATATCTGCTATCCAGGCAACGACTCTCTCACAACCAGCACCATCCTATCACATCTTTGATCTGTTCCACAAATATGCTTGGTATCACTGGACAAAATTCAGAGATCTCCCGAGAGGCACCGAAATTTTGGACTGCCTCAGGATTCGTTTCACAAGCTTAAATATTATCGTATCGTACTTCAAACCCGACCTGAAAGCTCGCCGAGGTAAACAACGCGTCACTCGGTGAGTATTCATTCAAAATTCTTCTAGTGGTGCTTTACTCATCTCTTTTTCAGTTTCTAGACCTTGTTCTTGGCGTCATAATTACACCCTGCAGAGCTACGCGAGGTAGGTTTTGAAGCGGATTAACGATTGTGTTTGCCTGAGTTTCTGAAGGTCACTAGATGCTATGAATTCAGTGTACGAAGAATCCTGTTAGTATAGTGTCAAGTATCATCAACAGAAAGGCTTTCCGCATGAGATAAACGTGATCCAGAGCTCAAATTTCAAGCTTACGGCTTGCCGGGAAGCCACTACTGAATTCTCAAAGACCGATGCTGGACTGAACGAAACTCCCTGTTAGCGTAGTGTCAGGTGTTGAAGGTGGAAGGGCTTACCACGCGAAACAACGTGTTCCAAAGGCCAGAAAGCTTACTTCCAGGCCTATCACCTGATGTTGATTTCATCGATAGCCTGCCGATTCAGCGTTTGACTGCCTGTAAAGACGGCGTCAGAGAGAACAATTAAATCAGGTCATGATACCAGATGTACTTACGGGCTGTGTGAGTTTCCCCACGCTTCACAGCTTTCAACCGCCATCATCATTTTATCTGGCGCCGTTATTGCTGCTGCATGCTGTCTTGTTCTTTTTCTGATGAAGACGCGATTTGTTTCGATGGATTCGAGGGCCAAATATTGTAGAAGCCGAGGCGATGGCAAGGGCGAGTACTTTTGTACGGATATGCGCCAAATTTCTTACCGTGAAGGACTCTGTGCTATCGTGCGTCCTTCTTTCTTTCTAATTTTACCTGCATTGTGTTCTCATTATGTGGCAGAGTCCTTTTCTACGAAACCCCATGTCTCGATCCTGAAGCGACCAAGGCTCTGCATCTTATGTATCCATTTCATCGGAAATAAGCAATACATACATTTCTCCAACGACTGTAGTCCGCCTGGCCCTCGACAGCGGTGAAGGGAACCGTCATCAACAGGGAAGGATAGCACTTGTTTTGCTCTTGTTGGATGGCCCAGCCTCGACCCAGGAATCTTCACCCTCTCTCCCCATCAGCTGCGCCCAGTCGTGTCCTTGGCTACCCGGCTTCCTACACCAATGACCATCACGACGAGCTCACTGTTCACCGAGTCGTAATATCGTCGACCTCGAGAAGAGTGCAGCCGACAGAGCTCAGCGAACAGGAAATGGTAAAATGGCTCGGAAATCGACGCAGGGAGCGCGCTTCCTTCCCCAGTACATCCTTTTTGGATGACGTGCAACGGTGGGGTGTCATACGACTGAGACGATCATCGTGATCTCTCTTCCTGCATTGTGGTGTTGCAATCCATATAAGGCTTTCTCTTTTACCTCGGTTTCCTACTGGTGACCGGTGACCGGCCCAATAGACGTATTTCTGACACGTCCGCATAACATGGATCTATGGGCATTGTCTGCAGTTGCTTGCCTCGAGTGAACGACTTTCAGCTCGCTGGCTCAACCTACCGATGGAATACCCTGAACAGTTGGTCTGGAGCCCAGTGGGAACGGTCGTTCAGATCTCAGAGGTCGAAGGGATCCTGAAGCAACGCATCGAGTTCACTACTCGCATACGTGATACGATATACATACCGCACAGTTGCTATGAACACAACAATCACCCCATCCCCCACATCCCCGATATTCGTCCATCTATCCAGCCAAGGATGCGCCGTGGAGCCAAGAGATGAAGAAGTTGTTGGCCTTTTGCTAGAGAAACATACGGTGCGTATCTTATCATCTTGACTTCCATGGCCATATCTGACGTGTCATTTCGTCAGGCTCAGACCGCTCGTTGGAGAGACGGATAGCATCTTCGCACTCTGCTTTTGGCTACTACTTTCTGTCTGTATCAACATCTTTGGAGGCCTATCTTCAACCTGCGAATCTTGGGGCGTGCTGTCATTGCTCAAAACTTGACTCTATTCGCTAGCTTCGCGGTCGTAATCTCTCCTCATCACACATTCCTCCAGATGCACAGACTTCGCCTGAACTGTAATCGTCGAGATATGGAGGATCGCCATTTGCTTCGAAGAACATGAACCAACGTGGTCGGAAGAAGGGAAAGAGTTATGCTCGGGGATATGACAGATAGGAAGGTCGAGACTGGTTGTATGCGGCTTGATCTACAGTCTCCTCTTGATGGTCACAAGCACCGTGCTTCGTGTGGATGGGGAAGACGGCTCTCCTCAACCTGCAGCATAGGTGCCGTGGCATCACTCCTACGAAGGTGAAGCGACGACAAATACCATCACCGGCTGTCTTCAACTGCTTGCTGGGATCGGCATATACCTCCTCTCCCCGTGCCAAGCAATCGAGTGCTCGCATAGGCTCCGTGTATGGCTAGTCCAAAGTTCGATGTGACGCGTTGATCAGAGGCTTGGCTAGAGACCACATGCGACGCATCTCTGTTTCTTCATCATCAACCGAATCGACACATATATACATCTCAGCCAGATCGGACGGACGCACTGCAAGACTGGTTGTATTAAGCGCATTGCTCTACCTCACGAGCGTTTCGCATGATTCAATCCACTCAATCGGACTATTGGTGACAGAGAATTCGTCTCGTTTGTCTGGGAAGAGAGCCATGGCATGTGTCGCATTTGTCTGGCATCTCGTTGTCTAAATCCGACGTATCGTTCCGATAGGCATTTACTGCGTTCTCCTGGATGATGACAACAACAATACAGATCACTTTTATTTTAGGATAAGCCCTCTTTAAAGAACATCGACAATATACCTTATCGCAACAGAGAAGCATGTCGTTTCATAATCTTCGCCCATCCTCACAAAGTCTCGGATACGATGTCCACACGCTTTCCTACACGCTTTACCATCCCCTCATGTCCAACGCTCCGTGACCCAGACCGTGTTCGCCACTACAAGGCACCTTGGTGAGCTTGGACCAATCTCTTGGCAAGAGATGCCAGAACTTACCGTGCTTGGCCCCACTTTCCTCGACAGCATTGCGACCCACCCTCAGGAAGACCCGTTCAATTACGTCAACACTTCCCTCCATCCCCTGATGTTGATCTCGGCCTTCTCAATCCACGACGGAATCCCGCTGGTTTCTTCTACGAGAGAGAGCGTGCCCATTGTGATGCCTTCATGCACCGATGCTCTGTGACCCGGGCTGTATTCGTCACTACGAAACACTTTGATGATTATTCGAAGCAAGGGAAACCAGAGCGGACCATATTTGGGAGACCACTTTCCTCCTGTGATGTTGTCCTCCCCAGCTTGCTCGCCAATCACGCTCGTGCTTCCCTCCATCCCGACACGTCACTCTCGCTGCTCCGGCCTGATGTTGATCTTCTTCATCTCCATTCATGACAGAATCTCGCCTCGCTCATCGCCGTTTCTTCCACGAGACAGACAAGTACGGGAATTCGGCAGTCAACGTTGTTTGGAGTACAACTAGAAGAGTCGTCATTTCTTGGCCGAGTGTCGGTGGTGCCTGTAGACTGTAACACTGCTCGAGACCAAGAGTGTTCTGTGTAAGGGGCAGATGGGCATGACTTGCCCTTGAGGGAAAAGGGATGGAGGCGAGGAAGGTGCAGACCCTCGAGAAGAGGTAGTGAGCGGAGCTAGATATATAGCAGTGGGTGTGCCGGTGTCTTCTTCCGCCGAAGCCATCAGGCTAAACTCGAAGGTCGCCTCTGCGCCTAATTACGTCCTTGATGTATTGATGCCTGATGTACGGTGGATGGCGATACTGGCTCGCTCGTCTGGATACAAGTATTTTGTCGGTTCACTGTGTTTGTGTGTGATCGATATCGTATACTACGTGTTTCCTGGCTACTGTATTCTAGCAGGCTTTGTCGTGAGAAAGAGATAAAAAGAAAGATATATCCTCACCTCAAGCAAGCGGATAAAAATGAGAAGTTGATACCCAGAAGGACGTATATTCTCACGCCATACTTCTTTCTCTCCGACGGCCTCCATGATACCAACACCATTTTTGAACTCTCACTGGGATACGGCGCGACTGCAAGGATCGAGGATTTGGATAGCTGGTATTATAAGATAATTCAATTGTACGTCCAATCCCTTCTGTGTTGACCAATAATAAGTCAGACACGGCAGACATCTATGTCGAAATTGCCTGCCTCAATCTCAGCTACGTCGGCCTTACCTGCGATAAACTATGGGCCAATGATGACTCAGGAGGGTGACTATTAGCTGGTGCGTTAGCTTCTTACCTCGTTCTGAATTTTATACTCATTCCTATCTAGATATGATTTCATATGTTGACGCAAGGAAATCTAACGATACGTGCCCACCCAAGACGGCACTTCTATTCGAGGACAAGGAGCCACTACCATTCAGCGCGTAGAGCCATCAGTCCCTCTGCTGTCCCGATGTTTCTGTGCGTTCGATGGAGTGGTACAGTGCATGGCTCGTTCGAACAGTTCCCTCTACACGATGTCTACGCGCTTATTTTCATCGTTCAACGTTGTCAGTGTATTCGCGTGTTGCATCGAATAACACATCGGATGATGCTCAGCATTATATGCTATATGCTAGACCTTCAGACCCACCATCGCATCACCTTGGGACAACAGTGTTACCAAGATCGACTTTGATTGGTGCACAACCAGTTCCATCTGCATTCCATGACTCTCAGCTTCTTCAGCCTGCCGAGCGACATCACCCACAGACTCGCTATCAGCAGCTCGACCATCCCCATGCGTCCCTTCATGCTCATCTCCAACTCAATCTCTAGCGGTACTATCACCTACTCAGAAAACACGTACGGACCATGCGGCGTCACAATCACCACCAACACCAACCTCATTATCCAGTAGCGGCAGTTGCCGGGTCCCCGATTCTTTCCCTTGGTTCAAGCTGCTCAATAAAGTGGTAGTGCAAAAAGCTCGCTCGGCGGCTGCGCCGCCAGCTCGCATTTTGCACAGTCTAAATCTAATCACCTGAGTGCGCTCCGTTCGATGACCTATACTAAGATTGCAAAGAACAATAAAATTTCCGGCATTAAAATCGAACTCATTGATGAATTGTCATTTCACACTAGAGGCCCCAAGGAAGGTGAACGTAACTCAGTCTGCCATCTAGTATGCAAGAGATCACAAGTTGGTGGGTGTCTGAACAGCATCTTATAATTACATGCCCTACGCACCTGGCACCATCTCAAGAAAGAAAATATTATCTCTAATACTGCGCACCTCATGCCATCACAAGGTCGATTAGTCCACAATGAACACATCACAACGTTCATCAAACTGTTACATGACAGTAAAAATCTGACCGTGAATGGGTACAGTGCACTTCCCAAAAACCAGACACAACAATCAGCACACATTACTTGCTGTAGCAAAATGTTCTGATTTGCAGGTTCGCATCAACACTGAATTCTCTTGCTATATCAAATCTACATGATGTAATAGGAAAATCCATTGAAGATAAGCAGATGCATAATACCACAATGCGTTACCAGAGTGATAGCACTGAAGCAGATTTTTATTAACCCGCTGAGTGGGGCTGTAGAACAGACAGTAGTTGAGGGCATCTGCAGTCACAGAGCAGAAAAAGGACAGTGAAGGCAGGAATCACTTGTGACGTGCAAGCAAAAAAGGTGATAGTAGGTGAGAGGAAATGAAGAGGAAATTGAGGTCGACAGTTTTCCGACCAGCCCGCAAACCAATAGGAATTCGGAAAGAAAGACTTCTCAGCCACAGCGGCAACCGCTCGGCAAATAAGCCGTTGCGTGCCGGATGATCGCCTATCACCAAAAATTACTAAGCCGACCCCGAGTATAGCCCCTGTCCAGACAGTTTGGCACTGCTCAAGACAGTTACGCCCCGATAATAACCCTCTATCGTTTCCTCATTCTTCGGAAAGAATCGGGAAGCCCCGAAAACGTCACCAAAATACGAAATTGGAGATTTTTTGTCCAGATCTTCCATCTCTGGTCCATTATTCGGCCTCCTTCCCTTCCTCGCGTATGATTCTTCACAGCCACTTTCTTCGTCATGGGCTAGAACAACAAGAAAAAGAGCACTCCCTATCAGCACGCGTCGACCTTGCAGTCTACAATAGTCAATATCCAGACGCATCTTCTCTCCATGTTTGCATTGTGTTGCTCGAGACACCCTGAAGGAGCGGTATGAGACCGCGTTTGACTTCGTTAAGGGCATGTAAGGGAGCAGAGACGATAGACGATGTGTGCGAGCCTGAAGTGTTCATGCGCGGGACGCGGAAGGAGCTAGCAGATGGGAAATGTCAGGGCATCCATTATCGATTCGTTATCAGTGCGTTTCTTTCTTTTTTCTCTGAATTTTCTTGCTAACGTACAGGCAGGCGTTCACCCGGACGTTCTACGTATCCGGTATGGCTCTCGTCGAAATCAATTTCCATTCAGATATACGAAGCAGAGTCATTTACATCGACTGTGGAATCCGAGATTCTCGCTGCACTATCGCATCCGTCATGCTTCGGCCTGGGTGAGATCGGACTACCAGTACACGCTCTCACCACCAGACGCATAACAACGAGTGTTCGCCGAACAGCTACGGATAGCCGTAGATCGTTGTATCTCAATAATGGTGCATACACGAGAAACAAAGGAGGATAAAGAGGGAACCATGAAGGAGATCGTACCCAAGAGCCACCGAGTACGACTACCTGAACCATCTACTTTCGTTCCAAGCTAACAGTGTTCTCCAGGACCACGTTCACTGCTTCGCCGACCCTGCTGCCTTCTAGAGCACTTTCCAAAGCTCAACACTACCAGGCTCCTCAAGCAGGTGTTGTTCACTGATCCGATACCTCCTGGAGACCGATGCCCCGTCCGTGGTTCTGGCGAACGTGTATGGCGCTCTTGAGTCGAGGTTGCCGTTCTCGCATCCACCGATGACGGCAGAGTTCATGGCGGATGTTAATGGCGAGGGGTGGAATGCAGAGCAGGTGCTAGGCATAGCGAGAAAGGATTTGGAGGCTGAGACAAAAGTGGAAAGCACAAGCGGTTACCTGATGGTATATATCTTCAGATACCTCATGAGTCGATTCACGTTAATCCCTGCATGTACCGTCGGCATCAACGATGTGCCCCACTTCCTGGACGAGCTCTCACCGGATTACCCCGCATCTCATTTTCTGGTCGGCCGCCGACTTCACCGCCCAGGATACAAGCCCGAGATATACAGGAAATGTCGAGTGAAGACGTCCTTTTCATGATTGGCTCCAGGTCCAGCCTCAGCATGCGCTTGATGCCTGCGCTGTATTCGTTTTTCCCCAACGAGACCCCCTATGAGCAACGTTCTTCCATGTGCAGCGTCAAACGGCGTCTTGTCGTTCTACAGAGAGGAGTTCCTGTGAAATCCGGGACAACCTGGTGTCGATACTCGCGGGAAGGCCGAGAGCAGAGCGTTCCGCTGTGTAGCTGAGGAGTACATCGACATGGGAGAGCTGTATATATCGCAAAGCACATAGGAAGGCTATTCCGGTGTTTGCTTCGACTTTCTTGTTAACTCGCAGGCACGTGTTCACCCGACCCGTACGTCCTGCGAACCTGGCTCTCGTCGTCATACATGAAGCAAAATCGGTTGCCCCCTGCTGTTCTCGCTGCGCTGTCAAAACCATCATGTCTCGGTCTTGGACTCGATTACCATTACACGGATGTTCAGCAGCGGTTATTCGCCCGGTAGCTACGGATCGCAGTAGATTGATTACGGTGCATGCACTGGAGGCGGAAGAGGACACAGAAAGGATCGTATCAAGGACTACGGGGTACGTCTTTCTCTCTAGCAATGTCGATAGTGCTGACTATATGCGTAACAATAGGTCAATAGGTCCATATCCACTGCTTCACCGACACCCTCACCTTTGGCTTCCGCCTACCTGAGTACTTTCCAAACCTCTCACCACTCCTACCCACGCCATCCTCTACCGCGTATGACTCGACCATACTGTCCTCCGATGACCTGTTGCCTTGGGAAAGCGGTATACCAACATCATGCTCAATAACATATCAGAACAACTTCTCACTACATTGATCACGTCCGTGGAGACAGTCTATTGAAGGCATGTCGACGCAGAAGCGTCTGTTCTCACGGAAACGTGCAAGACGGGAGAGGTCGAACAAGCCACGCATAATAAATCAGAACCCCCAGCAAGCAAGCAAGCAGCTTCGAAATATATCTTGCGATGATTTGTTCCAACTCCGAAGACTCGATGGGGTGCTCTTTTTTCCGAGGTATCTCAGAGACGACTGGACGTCAGAAACAGGAGCAGAATAAAATGTATAGGCTATTCATTTATTTCTTAGACTGTGCCCATATCTTCGCGAGATCGGGTGTCACATCATACGCTTCACCCTCAATGGAACCTTTGCGCCCTCTTCGCCAACGACTTTTGGTCGAGGCAAAACGCTCCCGGTATACTTGCCGATGGCGGTATCACTTCCACCGGGAAATTCGAGCGCAAAATTCCGTACAATAACAAAGAGCGCCGCCTAAAGAATCCGATCCTCAGCAAAAAAGGTGTACTCTCCCTCAAGAGAGTTTTACGTACCTTGAACTCAGTCAAAGCGAACGTCTTCCCAAGACAAGTCTTAGGTCCATCCACGAACGTCAACAGGTGTCGATGACCCTGGATCTCTTTCGCTCGCGGTGTAAAGTCCTCTAGCCACCTCTCCGGTCTGAACTCCTTTGCATCAGGGCCCCAGAATTCCTCGGATATGTTCAGTGTTTGAATGGGAACGGTGAAGACCGTTCCTTTGGCCACTAAGAGACTGTTAACGGTCTCTCCGGATTTGGTCACCACTGGTGTAGTGAGAGGAAGGACGTCGTCTTCCGCTGCCTACTAGGAAGTGAGAGAAGGTCGATACGGTGGAGGATAGGATACGCACCACTCTTATTGCCTCTGATACGGGTGGGTGCAATCGTAGGGTTTCGTGTATGACTGCGTCAAGATACGGAAGACTCGAGTTGAGTTGCTCCCATGTCGGGTCGGTGTTGCCGAATTGCACCAGTTCTGCGCGGAGCTTGTTCTGGATGTCTACGTTCTTGCACATTTCGATGAGGGCCCACTACGAGGTTATCAATTTTATTTAATGATCGGTCGCTGATAGCTCACATACCGTGAGACTGACTATACGAGAGTAATTCAGAAGAAGTAGAGGCTTGGAAAGAATCGAGACTTACTACTTGTCGTTTCATAGCCTGTAAAATGATTAGCTTTCAAAATAAGGATTGAAATCTGTAACACTCACCTGCTATCAGCAACATGTTCTAAAGTTCGGAAATTGTAAGCACGAAAAACAAAAGTAGGAATTTCTATACCATCTATTGTAGACAATCGTTAGCAAAGGATCAGTAGTGCGGGGTCGGTATCAGATACCTGTGCAATGATCTCTTCCCTAGACATGTGAACGTCTGCATCATGCGTCTCTGATTTGACTGTATATAAACGCTATCAGCTTCCCACAGGAACCAGTATTAGGTCATACTCACGAAGCAGACCCATTACAGATTTATCCTCCTCGTTCCCATGCTCCTTGGCCTTTGACAAGAGCTGGTCGGCCACACCAGAGAATACACGGTTCATATCAATTAAAGCCTCTTTCCTCTTCGAAGGCAACCGAAGAACGGCAGGGAAGACCATACCCGTGATGATCGTGAAAGCAAAGAAGGCGGCGCCACCTGCTCAGGTCAAGGCCGTCGAAAATTTGCGGTTTCCCGTCGACTGGCGCCAAAGTCGTGAGAGAAATCCTGCTCTACCGATGCTGTCCATCCTAGGTGGGACAAGTGGATTGGCTGCTGAGTGTTACGTAGTGGAATGATAGCCTCACGAGATGCGGTTCATCCTAGGAAATGGGTATTAGCTGGTAGGCATTTTCAACGGGTGTAACATACCAGTTCTGCACATCGATCGTGGAGGTCCCGTCGCTTGCTTCGAGAATAGCATCCCAAGCAGAAGACGTCTAGGTGAAGTATAAGGAAAATATTCAATGAACGCGGTATCATTTACGTACCCTGTGAGCCGAGTCGTAGAAAACATGGGTCAGATCACGTATAGCCTTGTTGCTAAAGGCCGGTGTGAGAAATTTGCCGTTGCCTGTATGTTTTCCGGTCAGTGCACAGTTGTGTGACGTGAAAGTGAGCGATCGGTGCCTTCGATGAAGTTCTCCCTCTGCCCATAACAAATTTTTCCCGAACTGTGGGTCAAGATAGTACATCAGACAAAACTGCTCATATTTCCTAAAACCTAAGGAACGAACCATAATTTCGATGAAGTTGCGAGTCAAGTCCGTCTTGATGTATCCAAAACCCTCATTTGCGTAGAGGTGTGCCACAGGCTTTCGGATCGCAAAGAACCAGCTGTTGCTGTCCCCAAAACCCAGGGAAACTAAAGACAGACCCGTACTCCGATGCCCATTGCTCGTACAAGAGACCTGAATCCTCGGCTTCATGGATAACACGAGTAAGACCGAAAAGCCAGTTTTGACCTGAAGGTCCCCGCAGTTTCGTCGTAACGCTGTATCTACCACGATTCGTCGAAATCTTGTAGATAAAAAAGCCGGCGACGAGAAACAGACAGACTGTCTGTAACCTGATATTTGGTAGGTCGGACGTCATGGTATGGGATTGAGTCGTGGGATCGGAAGACGAGCATCGTCACACTTTTCATTCCGACAGCACCTTCGATTTGAATGCGGCGCATGATCCATCGGATGGACTAGATCCGGTTAGTGCTCCAATTGGGGTTGGTGACAGATCCGGTCTGCGTATCCGAAGTCTATGGCCAATTGGAAAACGTCGTTCACGTTGGAGTGTACCCAGACTGTTTCATGGTGCTTACGAGCGATCTGTAACGACACCAGTAAGAATGAATATCGTGTCATTTTTGTGTTCACGGGATCGAGCGAAGAAGAGGGCAGGAAGAAGCTGGATAGGCGGCGATCCCACTGAACGCGGTTGTCATAGCAAAATTTGGATATAGGCCAGGTGATGTACGAACCCCTCCTACAGGTACTGTTCACAAACTGAATCATGAATTTCCCTTTGTACAAATGGCTAGGAATTCAAAAGGATCCTGGTTGATCACAATTGAATATGAGCACGCATCAGAAACTTTTGCATCGTTTCCATCTCAGCTGGTAGGCAGGAATAATCAAAGATGCTCCTGGTCTTCCATCTTCTGGTAAGTATATCTAGAGACGGTTGAGCAATGAGGTCTAGAAGTGGGAGCACGACGGGCAGCCATACCAGCTCTCTGGTTACTTTGAAGGTGTCTATCTGTAACGAGGCGTAAAATCAGTCAGTATTGTGACAGGTGTCAAAACAGGTTTCGGCGGCTTACTTCTGCAAGATTGGCGGACGATAGACCCTGAAAGTGGTATCGCGTTGATGCATACGATACCAGTTTGTACTTCTCTTACGACCATAGACAATGTTCCGTTCGTCATTTTAAGGAAAATGTCGGCCATGATCTACGAAGCGCTTAAGCTACATCCAGACGAAATATACAAGGACTAGCGTCTACTAACCGACTCTTATCGATACCTGTTTATCTTTGTAGTTTTGAAGGCAGGCACCTGCGTTCGAAGTAGCCTGCAGTTCTTGTTCGTCCAAAGAAGTCATGTCTCTGTATGGAAAGTGAGTGAGCGTGAGCATGAGAAGTACGGTGCACCTACGCTGCGTCCGTCTTTTCTTGAGATTTGGGGAAGTTTCGCGAGATCCTGGTGTTCAAAGGAAGGGCAGCAAAACATGGCACGTCTAGATTAGTCGACAGGCAATAACGTTCGGAGCTGCTAAGAACGAAATCGAGCAGAATTGAAGCTCCTCGGACGAGCAACAGACAGTTTCGGACGCAAACGTTTGGCGTGCAAGCCACGCCTGTCTCGTTCCTCGAAGATATGAGCCTATGCATGGTTGTTCAGTGAGCGACCAAACAAAAACCAGAACGTGACACGCGTACCTGACAAGATTCCCTACGGCGGCCACGAGCTTGTAAAACGCCGATAGTCTCCCGAGGAGGCCAAGGACGATTATTAGACTACACGTGTTTGAGGCAACTACTCATCACTCTGTGCCTAAGAGTTGATTGAACACAGGAGATGGTGATAGCGTGTGTACCCATCAAACGGAAGCATCTGATAGAGAAGATACTTTCACGCAGAATGTGAGTTAATCACTGTTAATCAATATCTCGGTAGTAGTATTAGAAACCGCAGTACAGGAGGTTGCGGTGCAAGAAGTCCCGAGAGAAGGGCGAGGTCGTTACGATAACCGGTTCTTGGGAGAATACAGAGAGGAACGGGAGAAGAGTATTCGGAGACAATGAACCCGGCGAAGAAGGCAGGTTTGCTGAAGAAAAAAAGTTCCTCAAACAGAAAGACACTAAGACTTTGTGACGATCATGAATCCTTGGCACCGCATTGGACGATACGATGGGACCTTGTTGGGGCCTGTACCATTAATATAATTAGTTCAGGGACGGGATTTTCACGAAAGAAACGAGACCTACCGTATGGATTCTATATCCGCTTGGAAGCAGGCAAATCTGTGCTAACATCTTGACGATAGAGGGGCGAGAGAACGCTGTGTGCAGGAGATCGATTGTTTGAGAATCTCTCAGCGGTTGAGACTGCGGCGATAGCTGCATGGGCTACCTGGAGCAATGTGAAGCTTTTGTGGAGCGTATCTTGAAGCTCAAAGCTGATTGGTAGATCATGATATACTCCAGAAGACCACACTGATCTTAAGTTCTCACCCGCCGCAGTGTGAGATCTTTGCTCTTTAGCTGAGATGAAAGGAGCTAGATCTCGAATTAGTCCTTCAACACTATGAATGTTTGCGCAGTAGTACCTGGTAGGTATCGATCCAATATGTTTTGGTCGGCGACCCTTAGACAATGGGGGAACTGACCCCGCCAGAAATTCTGCTGGAGAAAGATTGTCAGGGTGGTAATTATGCTGTAAATGTCACGTACACATTATGTAGTCAACGGAGACATTATGCAGAGATCCACACTGCCAGGAATGGGCGAAACCATTCTTCTGTATTTTTCTCGTTGCGACGTAGGACCATGCCCATCAGACGTGAATAGATCCCTGGATTCGGCTAGCTGAGTGATGATATCAGAACGGTAAGTCGCGCCACCTAACCTTTTTTCTTTCCGGTGGTTCGGTGCCGCTTGTTCTCGCAGGCTTCTTGATCCGGGCCTCGTTGCTGTACAGCCCAAAACTTCATTAACGTACGATTTCATACATGTAGGTGAGTAGGAAGGAAGGAGAAAAGGGAATTAATTAGGAGACTGTAAAATTGAAGGGGAAATCTCCGCCGTCGTGGTTGCCACAGGAGAAACGCCGACCGTCAATGCAGGGAAGCGACCAAAACGGGCTAGACTCCCAAAAAGGAAAAAATGGGTATCGCGCCAGATTTGGGCAGGCACGCCTGATTTTCCTTAGCTTCGTCCTTCCTTTCCTTCTTACTTCCATGACCGTACTGTGATTCCTTCATTCCTCCTTCATCTCTCTCGCATACCCTCTCTGTTCCAGCAATGTCTTCCGTAGCGTCCTGCTCTACCAAACTCTTGGCTGCCCCCATACCTGAGCGCGTCGTACGCTTCGACAATGAATGCGTTCTCATCCCAGAAAGTCGTTCCAAGCGACCTATGGTGTCGATGGTGACCAGGTCATACGCTATACCCCTTTGGAAGCGGAAATCACCGAGTCCTAGCCCCCTAGATGAGAAGGAGAGGCATACAGAGATGATTGAAGACAGTGACCCTCCCTCTCCAGCTGCGGAGGGAAAGGAGCACGTCGTTCTCAAGGTTTCTGTCCCTCGGTATGCACGGCATTTTCTATTACTCAACTGTTTACTCAATGATACTTGTATTTAGCTTCAAGACACGTCCAAGCCGCGGACGATCACACACATGCGGAACCTCTTACCCCATGTCTCGTGCATCGTTCGGCAGATCAGCCTTCGCCTCCATCTTTCCCTGTACCCCGCTCACGAACCCTTAGGCGAACCCCTTCTCTACCCATTCCACCAGCGAAACATATCACCACCGTACCGCTGCGAGCCTGTTGTCCAAACTGCTTATCCCATAACGAGAAAATCACTCAAAGAGGGTGACAACTGGGAGACCAAGTTCTCTACCGGTGCACGGAGACGGCGAAGCACGAGTCTTGACGGTATCACAGCCCCATTCACCCTTGCCGACGTCGAAGAAGCTTTGTTTCGCGTTAACGTAACCGTCGACGAGGTGGACACGCTGAAGCAGAGGCGCTCGCAGGAGATTGCTCCCGAGCCTGTTCCTAAGCCCTGTGTCGAGGTTGAAGACGAGGACCAGCTCTTTCCTCTCCCTCTACCGCGTCGTTCACCTGGTGGTTCCCCCATTCCGAGTCCGAAAGCTCCGCCGACGTGTTTAAACTTGACAGCGAAGAATGGTTCCGAGGAGAGTATGATTGGGAAGAGCATCTCGAGAAGAAATCGTTGCGAGAAGACCTTGTTGATGCCCGAGACCGTATATCCATCGAGAGAGGGCTCGCGTTCAAGCCCCAATTTGAGTCTAGGGCTCACAGGCCATCCTACATACTCGCGAGAGGCCGTCTCCATCGTCTTCGCCATCTTCTTTACCTTCTCCCTCGAAGCATCGACGGCTAATGTCAGATACCGTGATGTTCAGCGCACCGCCTCGGTCACCACCTCGCTTAGCATCGCGACCTTCGCCTCCGTGTTCCCCATTGAGACCGACACCCAAGCGCAGTTGGTCTGCGGTGTTTAAAGGTGTTGTGGCAACATCTTGACATTCGCAGCTACTGTTCCTTTTCCCCCCTTTCCTTTACGATACCCATTTCTATTGTACCTAGTTGTCACGTAATTTTTTTGCTGTCCGTTCGCTGTCTATCTATCATTTTTTCGTTTTCTTTTTTGTTCTGGACATACATACATACATACATCTGTAGACTAGCGTAGCATCGAACATTGATATCCACAATAACATAGCAATACTCTCTTGAACATCAGCTTATATTTTATCCAGATAAGTTGAAACGCCCCCCTACTAACAGCACGATAGAATCGACAAATACCGAGCTTCGAGGCAGTGCATGTACAATCGGATTTCATCGAATAGCATTACAGGACCTGTTTGCCAAGTTTCTCCCAATACCAAACACCCTTTTGCCAACGCCCCGCGTGCCAGCAATAATATACGAGAAACTCCTTCGATACTGGAAGTCAGCACGCGGGTCAAAAGAACTGGACGTCCGCGAGCAATATAGATTTCTTCCCCCACAAAAAACTGAAAAGAAAAACTTTACCAGTACTACTCATTAGCATAACGGTCCCTCGCCGCTGTTGTATACGGCTCCGTCAGTGACAGCATACCATACGCGTTCTTCAGTTCACAAACTGTATATCTGATAACTGAGACGTCAGGATAGCACCCAGGTATAGATTCCGCTATATACCTCCCTACGTGCGTCCTCATACAGCAGCAATATATACGGCTCTCCCGTGCCGATGTACTTGCGCTCAATCTCCCCCACGGACATGAGTCTATTTGTTTCACCGACATGTACGGAAGACCGTTGATGTATATTCCAAGCCTAACATGGGATCTCGTTTGGCAAAATGAACATGGCATAGCGGAAATATGGCGTATGAGCGTTGGAATGACATTGATACATGTAAAGAACATCCTCACTCACTGGTGCTGGAATTCCAAAGCCGGTCAGAGTGATTATGAACTCGGCAGCGGCTAGACCATGAAATGTACGACGGTATAAGAGTCCTCATTCAGGAGATCAGTAGGGTCATATTGTTGACGACATGGAATGCTATAGCACGAATTGCTGTCATGGATTATCTGACCCGCTATCTCTGCTTTGAACATGTTCATTGGCATGAATCCTTCACGATGTCGTTGAACATGGACGGATACATGCAGGGCAATAGCAATTCAAATCTGGATGCGTAAACATGATGATATTTGTTCTCAGTATTCCACTCTAGCTGCGAGAGAATATAGGACGTTCTCTAAAACCATAATCTGTTGTTCCACCCTGCGAAAACGATATTAGAAGAAAGCGAGGAGAACGGTGATAACGGAAATAGATACCATTTTGGAGTATGAGCCACTGCTTCCTCCTTGACGACAGCTAGCTAGTGTCCAGCAAGGGGCCAACGCAGCTTCATAAAATGGCCTTCAACTAGCTGCCACTGAATAACCCTCAAATATCATATATCCTCCCACTAACCCTCCCTCGCTACATCCATAATCTTCTGGGCATCCCACCATCGCCCATAACCCCCACAACGAACCGTTGCCATCAGCGAACGCGAGAACGGGGGCCTGGACTCGACCTTGTGCTCCAGCACGCCAAACACGTTCTCCGGAACCATGTACGGCGCGTATGTTTCCAGGAGAGTCTGCTTGTTATCAATAACCAGAGGCGGACATCAACCTGAAAAGCTCGGAGGTGTTGAGGTTCGATGCGTAGCAGACGACGCCCGTCATGTCGATGCTGAGATTTAGGCAGAACTCGAGTAAACGGGGGCTAAATAGTGCGATGATATGGGTGAAACAGTAGATGTGGACCTGTTGTTACGCTTACAATCAGCATTATCGGCATCGACAGGGAGAGACATACATACCCGGTGATCCTTGGACACGATTTCCTTCACGTTTCTCTCCGCACCTTCTTCAGCCTCTCGGGATACTATGATCCACGGCTATCCTGATCTCAGGAAGGCCTACACAGGATGGATGTGATGGCATTCATGACAGGGGTATATGATTTGCTTCGCGTCTGGGTGTAACGACAGCCAGGTTCGACTTCGAACACCTGCCTGTGAGTTAGCAAGAAAGTCGATGCGGAACGCACTGATAACAAACGGACATTTTGATCCCCTTCCCATTTCCCACCCGCAAACGCAAACGTAAACGAAGAGTGTTGATTCCCGTGGGCTGGGGGGTCGACGCGTGCTGGAGGAAGCCGGAGGTCATTAGATCATGAGGGAGACGAGAATTCTTGTTAGTTTCCATGGCGACGGAGGTGGGAAGCAAGGTCGTAGCATGGCCTGGAAAGAGACGTTTCGGATAACAAGGCGTGTGTCATCCATTTTTGTAGGGAAGACGGACACGACTACCTTGGTAAAAGCTCAAACTTTCAATTTCATGCCCGGCATACGGGACACGGTAGACAGACATTCCATACACGGAGGTTGCTTGTCTGGTGCGAGCAGAGTTCGCTGAGTCGTGAGTAAGAGGGTTCTGCTGTATGTGATCGTCCGCGGCTTGGACGTGTCTTGAAGCTAGATAGACAAAGGTAATATTGAGCAAACGGTTGAGTAATAGAAAATGCCGCGCATAGAAACCTTGAGAACGACGTGCTCCTTTCCCTCTGCAGCTGGAGATGTCTTCAATCATCTCCGTATGCGTCTCCTTAGGGCTAGGTCTTGGTGACTTTCGTTTCCAAAGTGGTATAGCGTACCGCCTGGTTCACTTCTGGGACGAGAACACATTCGTTGCCGACGCGCGATGGCTCCTCCTTGTCTTGAGTGGGCGCATATATCGATGGCTTTTGTTGCGTCGGCCTATGACTAGGAAGATTCAAAAAGGGGGGGTATAAAGCTGAAGCGCCAGGCTAGCACTCCGGCCAACACGAATAGGATTAAACGCACTCGAAGCGACTATCCAGTCTTTACAATCAAATAGTGTGCCAGTAAAAGTTCAGACGCTTCAAGAATGGCCCAGCCGGTACCATGAAGCGAAAGAAGTATGGCATGAGAAGGCGACGTCCTTCCGGAATCCAAACGGGTTGCTGCAACCTGTGAAAAAGAGGTTAGAACAAAGTAAGACGAGGTGATCATTGAGATACATACCATCTCAGAGTCTGAGGTCAGGTCACCGCTTGTGCCCTCCACCCTTATCTCCCGCTAAGCAGCCTCCAAATACCATATACCCTTTCTCGCCATGCCCAGCATCTGCTCCGCATCCCGCCTGTCGTCCCTAATCCCTGCAACAGACTCTGCCTTCATTAGTGAATGCGACAACGGCGACCTTGACTGTTTGAGCTCAAGAGCGCTATACACGTCTGCCGGACGCGCCAGTCTCCAGCAGAATCCGTTTGTTATCTGTAGCTGCGATCTGCTTGAAGAGCTTGGCGGTGTTGAGGTTTGGAAGGCAGCAAGATCGGTGAAGCAGTGAACGTGTACGAGGGTAGATAGTCGTGGCCCCTTGGGTACGATCTCCTTCACGATTTTCTCTGTATCTTCCTCTGCTTCTCGTGCCGTATTCACCGTTATTGGGATACCACGATCTACGGCTATCTGGGCGAACACCGGTTGTTGCACACCTGGCGGAGAGGGCGAGGTACTATTCTCGAATTCCACGTAAGAGTGTACGATTTTGCTTCGTGTCTGGGTAGAACTTATCGAGAGGCGACAGCTTCGAAGTTGCATAGGGGTAAGCACCTACTTGTGAGTTAGTGCGTCACGGTAGTCTACGACATCGATGGCGCACAGGTCGACCACGTTGAACTGACGGAATATTCACACCGAGGACGCTCTCAGCGAGCCTGTCCTTGAGCTCATCAACATCTGCCGTACCGTGTCGAGGACATAGCCTCAGAGGGAACCTTGAGTACAGCCTAATGGTTTCGGCGGAAAAAGATGTGGCTACACCAGCACACGCACTGCTAAATATCTGGCCCCGCTCACAAACCTTTCTCGAGGGTCTGCACCTCCTTCGCCTCCATCTTTTTTTCCCTCGAGGACAAGCCGTGCCCATCTGCTCTTACACTGAACACTCTTGGCCTCGGGAAGTATCACAGTCCACAAGCACCACCGACACCCGGTCAAGAAACGACGTCGCTTCTGCTTCCACATCGAACGACGGTCACTACCGAATCCACGAAAACGTCTCTCATGGAAGAAACGACGAGGACTGAGGCGAGATTCTGTTGTGGATTGACCGTGATGGGTATCGGCGAGGGAACTGGATGGTGTGGCGTCGGGATGGAGGGACGCACGAGCGTAATCGGCGGGTTGTGGAGGACGACCTCACAGGAGGAAGCAGTCCCAAGTACGGTACGCTCTGGATTTCCCTTGCCTCGAATACTCACCAAAGTGTTTCGTAGTGGCGAACAGTCTAGGCCACGGATCATCGGTGCACAAGGGAATCATGATAGGCACGCTCTGTTTCTCGTGGAAGAACGTAGATTGAGAGGGAGAAGAACAACGTCGGGGCTGGAGATTGACAAGTCGGGGATGGAGGGAAGCGGTAAGCTCTGCTTTCCTTTGCCACAAAATTGATCCAAGCTCATCCAAGTGTTTCGTAGAGGCAAACACGGTCTGGGGAGCGGTGCATTGGTGCACGAGGGATTTACAATGGATGCAGGAAAGCGTGTAAGCATCATATTCGGAGCTGTGAGAGAATGGACGAAGCCTATGAAGCAACGTGTTTTCCTCCCTCACAAGTAGGCGTATCATTGATGGCCGTAAAAGAGGGTTTGCCCTGCAATAAAAACGCCTCTTTCCTCGGTTTAGGAAGACGCAGAGACTACCTGCAGGAATGAAGTGTCAGTTATAGCCAAGACGTCAAATGAATAAGGCACGTACGGCGGATACCAGTCTAGGAAAATAAAGACGACTTCTCCTTCGCCAATAGCCCGATTGATGGGATTGATTCCTTCGTGAGGTAGAGCGATATGCCTGATACAGCCTTGCAGTGTGTCCGTCCGTCCAATCTGGCTGAGATTGATCGTGTATCGATTCAGTTGATGATGGTGCGGAAGAAACAGAGCAGCGTCAAATGCAGGTCGCTAGCCGGATTTCTGCATGCACAACCGAGCTTTAGACTAGCTGTACATGGCGCTTGTGCAAGCACTTGATAAGCTTGTGAGGAATACGATGCCAGCGAACACTTGAAGGTGACTAACGATGGACTTTGGTAGGTCGTGACTTCAGCATCATAGGAACGTGCCGGGGCTGACGAGAGAGCCGTCTTCCCTATCTGCACGCGTCATGCACCTCGTGATGGTAGTATCATGACTGTAGAAACGAGCGGTAATCGACTGTGACTGAACCACGTATGACCAGCCTCGAAATTCCTATCTGTCAAATCCCCACGCCATAATCCTTTCCCTTCTTTCTACCACGTTGGAGCATGCTCTTCGACACAGGCGGTGATCCCCATATCTCGACGAATACAGTGCAGATAGCATATATCGCAGCAACAAAGGTCGCGAGGTGATGAGGAGAGATTACAAAGGCGAAAAGTTGAAGCTAGCGAGCAGAGTGAAGTCTTGAGCAAAGACAGCGCGCTCCAACGTTCTCAGGCTGAAGATAGGCCTCCGAGGATGGTAATACTGGTGGAATATGGTAGCCAAAGCAGGGTACGAAGATGGCATTCTGCTCCAACGAGCAGTCGCTATCCTTCCTTGCCTGAAGAAATGACATGTCAGATATGGACGTGGGAGTCAAGATGATAAGATACGTACCATATGTTTCTCTAGCAAAAAGAATAACTTCTTCTTCTCTTGGCTCCGCAGCGTATCCTTGACTGCATAGATGGACGAATATCGGGGATATAGGCGATGGGGTAGTTGTTGTGATCATAGCAACTCTGCGGTACGTGTATCGTATCACGTAGGAGGCAAAGATGTGAGTAGAGAACTCAATACGTGGTTTCAGGATCCATTCGACCTCTGAGCGACCGTTCCTGCTGACACTGGGCTCCAAACCAACTGTCCAGGGTACTTCATCGTTAGGTTGAGCCGGCAAGCTGAAAGTCATCATGCAACCGCAGACGACGCCCATGGATTCGTGTTACGCAGAGATGTTCGATGGTCGAGGGGGACCGGCAAGAAATCTTGATACGCCGTCACTTGGTAGGAGCTCGTCTAGAGTTGTAAACACAGACACCGTAAAAACAGGACTATCTGGCCGGTCCTTAGTAAGAAATGGAGATAAAAGAGAACGCCTTACATAGTTTGCAACACCACAACGCAAGAAGGGAGACAACACGACAATCGTCTGGGTCGTACGGTATCCCACCATTGCGCGACATCCAAAAAAGATGCATTGGGGAAGGAAGGGCGCTCCCTGCGTCGATTTCCGATGCTGTTCCGCCATTTCCCGTTCGCTGAGCTATGTCGACTACACCCTTCAAGGCTAGCGATGTTGCGACTTGGGTGAATGAGCCTATTGTGACGATGATTGCTGTAGGAAGTCTGGTGGCCAAGGACACGACTGGGGGCGGCTGATGGGCAGAATTAGAGTGAGTTCGTAGATTTGTGGATCGAGGCCGAGACGTCCAACACGAGGAAAGTAAGTGCTATCCTTCCCTGTTGATGACAGTTCCCTTTGCCGCTGTCGAGGGCCAGACGGACTACAGTCGTTGGAGAAATGCATATATTGCTTGTTGCCGATGAAATGGATAAGATGTAGAGCCGCGAACGCTTCGAGATTGAGACACGAGGGTTCGTAGAAAAGCACTCTGCCACATAATGAGAACGTAACCCAGAGAAAACAAAAAATAAAGCAGGACGCACCATAGCACACAGTCCTTATTCACGGTAAGTAATTGCCCGACACAGTTACTCGCATTCAACCATCCTTGCCATCGCCTCGGATTCCAGAAAACTCCTGCCAATTTTTGGTCCACGAATCTACCAAAACAAGCAGCGCCTTCATCGAAAAGAAGAACAAGACAGCACGCAGCAGCGAAACGGCTTCACGCAGTGCTAGATAAACGATGGTGGCGGTGGAAAGCTATGAAGCGTGGGGAAACTTACATTGCCCCCATCAGATACATATCACTGCAACGTATTCCTTCCACTCGTACTCTCACCATCGACCATACAGCGTACTTCAAAGAATGCAAGCTCCATCCCAATCTCTCACCCAGTCTTCAAGTGCAGCGGTGGCTGCTCAATCTACAATCCTCGCGCCTCCAAATCTTGCTCCTGATGATACGGACTGGATTTCAAATGCCAGTGTCACTCTCAAGGTGCTTGCAGGTGCAGGTGAACTCGATCACACAGGCATCACAAAGGCAATTGCAAATATTGCTCTCCCAATTCTGGAGCTGGTTCAGGTGCAAATCTATGGCTATTTACATCAATAGGGCATACTAAAAAATTTGTGTCATCCAGAATAATAAGAAAGCCCGTGAAGATCTTAAGGACACTGTCAAGTACCTTGATCATATGCTTGGCTATGTCTCTGAAGAGATCAAGCTCCTTCGAGAGGGTCAATCCTTGACAGATGTTTCAACTCACCCACTGGCACACCTACAGCAAATGGGTGATGAATTTGTCAAGTCTGTCTTCACTTTTATTATTTGTTTAATAGCTTAGGAACTGATACCTGCTATCATCAGTCACCTTGGAGCTTTGAAGGATGATTTGAACAAGATCTATGGGAAGAAGGGGTTTCAGGCTACTATGAAGAAAATGTTTCAGAGAGAAGCTATTCTGGGACGTATCAACCAGCATAAAGAGTATGTCAAGGAAGCTCAAGATAAGCTTGTGGTATGTTTTTCCTTATTATAACTTGTCAAAAGTATTATTAACCTTTCTCAGGCAACTGCTGTTCTTTCAGTTACTAGACAAGTTGAAAATATGGATGCAAGGGTGACTAGTATTCATGATCATCTTGTAAATCTTTTTGATTACTGCATTGATGCATACTAATATCCTCATAGTTAAGTTCTTCAAGAATGACTCAATCTATCAAGTATGTTTCTGTATATTTTTTAAAGTATAATAGATCTCATAATAGTCTACTGATTAGTAGCCTTATGCTCTCTGCTATTCCACCACCACCACCTCTTATATTTAAGGGTCGAGATAGTTTAGTACAAGAGGGCACAGATAATCTCCTTTCTGACTCTCCTCGTCCTATTGTTATTATGGGATTTGGTGGTATGGGGAAAACATCATTAGCATTGAAATTGCTGGATGATGTAGCTGTAAAAAATAAATATGGAGCATGCAGATACTTCATTCCTTGTGATGAAGTTTGCAGCATTGAGCCTACTATTGGGATATTAATACAAACTGTAATGAGATTGATGGGGTTGCAAACTACCAGTGATCCTATAAAACAGCTATATGCTATATCAAAGCCAATGATCCTACTTTTTGATAGTTTTGAGACTATTTGGGATAAAAGTAATAATCAAAGTGTTCAAAGAGTTTTAGAGCAGTTGAATACTATAACACATATTACTCTGATGATTACTATGAGAGGAAATATTCCTCCTATAGACAATATTGACTGGCTGATATTACCACATAATGGTCTATCATCATTAGCTGAATCTTCATCATTAGAAGTATTTACTGCTATTTCAGGATATAGTGATAGTATAAAAACAGTCATAAAACTAGTTGAAAAGCTAGAAGGATGGCCATTAGCTCTTATGTTAATGGCCTATCAAGCTAAAATTCTTCATCCAGAAGTGCTTTTAGAGAGCTGGGATAAGGAAAAAATCTCATTATTAGAAAAACCAGGGGCTCAATCACATCGCTTAACAAGTGTTAATATTTCAATCAAACTCACCCTTCAATCACCATTGTTTTCAAAACCAAATATTTTCAAGGTGTTAAGTATGATATGCTATCTTCCTGATGGTATTCCTTCATGGAGAAAGATATTAAGCAAAATGCTACCAGATCTTTCAGAAAGAATTGGAATCATATCTAATTTATTACAATCTAAAATTATATATGAAGATAGCAAAGGAGGATTGAAAATATTACAACCAATTCAGGAATATCTGAAAGTGTATTTTCAGAAGCCAGATATATATATAAAACAGCAGTTTTGCATTTTTTATCTTAATGAGAGTAAACAATTTGAATTTTCAATTTCACAAGAAAATGCAAAATTTGGTTTATCTCATTTAAACAATTTTGAATGGATATTCAATGAGATTTTGATTAATTGTAATTCTGAGAAAGAATTGATAATGATTTATAATTTTTGTTACTTTCAATATATAAATATGAAATCAAACATACTATTAAAAAAAGTTATAACTATAGCAAAAAATCAGAATATGCAATATTTGTATGCTTTAGCAGCATTATTGTTAGGCAAAAGATTACATATGTTTAGTCAACAACGAGCAGCATTAGAGAAAGTAAATGAGGCAATGCAAATCTTTGAGACAATTGATAACTCTCTTGGAGTAGCACAGTGTTTACAAAGCATGGGAGGTATTTTAAAAATGATAAATCAATATACAGAATCAAAAATCAAGCTAGAGAAAGCAATACAAATATTTGAGACTATTGGCAAATCTCTAGGAGTAGCACAGTGTTTACAAAGTTTGGGAAATATTTTACAGATGATAGACCAATATTCAGAAGCAATAATCAAGCTGGAGAAAGCAATGCAAATGTTTGAAACTATTGGAGACTCTCTTGGGGAAGCACAATGTTTACAAAGCTTGGGAAATATTTTGCAAATAACAAATCAATATTCTGAAGCAAAAATTAAGCTAAAGAAAGCAATGCAAATGTTTGAAACAATTGGAGACTGTCTTGGAGTAGCACAATGTTTACAAAGCTTGGGAAATATTTTGTGGATGACAGATCAATATTCAGAAGCAATAATCAAGCTAGAGAAAGCAATGCAAATGTTTGAGACTATTAGAGACTCTCTTGGCATAGCACAATGTTTACAAAGCTTGGGAGATATTCTGCAGATGATATGTCAATATTCAGAAGCAACAATTAAGCTGACAAAAGCAATGCAAATGTTTGAGACCATTGAAGACACTCTTGGAGCAGCACAGTGTTTAAAAAACTTGGGAAATATTTTGCAGATGACAGATCAATATTCAGAATCAAAAATCAAGCTAGAGAAAGCAATGCAAATGTTTGAGACCATTGGCAACTCTCTGGGAGTAGCACAATGTTTAAAAAGCTTAGGAAGTATTATGCGAATAACATATCAATATTCAGAAGCAAAAATTAAGCTGGAGAAAGCAATGTAGATGTTTGAAACTATTGGTGATTTTCTTGGAGTAGCACAATGTTTACAAAGCTTAGGAAGTATTTTGTGGATAACAAATCAATATTCAGAAGCAATAATCAAGCTAGAGAAAGCAATGCAAATGTTTGAGACTATTGGAGACTCTCTTGGCATAGCACAATGTTTACAAAGCTTGGGAAATATTTTAGGAATGATGAATCAATATTCAGAAGCGACAATCAAGCTGGATAAAGCAATGCAAATGTTTGAGACTATTAAAGACACTCTTGGAGCAGCACAGTGTTTAAAAAACTTGGGAAATATTTTGGGGATAACAAATCAATATTCAGAATCAAAAATCAAGCTAGAAAAAGCAATGAAAATGTTTGAGACTATTGGTAATTCTGATGGAGTAGCACAGTGTTTGCAAAGCTTGGGAAATATTTTGCGAATAGCAAATCAATATTCAGAAGCAACAATTAAGTTAGAAACAGCAATGCAAATGTTTGAAACTATTGGCAACTCTCTTGGAGTAGCACAATGTTTACAAAGCTTGGGAAATATTTTACGAACAACAAATCAATATTCAGAAGCAATAATCAAGCTGGAGAAAGCAATGCAAATGTTTGAGACTATTGGCAACTCTCTTGGAGTAGCACAGTGTTTAGACAGTATCAAATCTTGTCAAGCATATTTATAAAGAGACTTTTATAAATTCATTCATATTATCATATTACACTATATTATAGTCTTGACAATTGAATAGAAGGAAGTTGTAAAAAATAAGTGTATAGGTCAGAATTTAATAAATTCTTATCACTTAATTTCACTCTTAATGTCCAATAGACTCACACACTCTATTCAAGTAAGGAGTATATATGATCTCTTATAACATTTTAATAACATTTAAGGGATAGAGTATTATCTAAAACTAACTAACTCTTTAGAACATTAAGAGCAAGCCTTATTTTACTTAGATATAATCTACAACATTGAACAGAGAACCAGGATGTGCACTTGTCCACACCCTTATAGTCCATTGTTAAAGAGTATTCTTTGCTGCTGTGCAAAGCTCATTATGTCATCTATTGCTACATCCAGCATTTATGGTTGAAATTATGGGGCTGGTTGAAGGAACGATATGATACCCTCTCAGCTTGGTGACTGAAATTTGGACCATTTTTGTCTAGTATGCTAGACTTTCACTTTTCTATGCATCTCATACTCATTGATACCCAGGTATATGCATGCTGACAATACCTGGCAGCCACTCCAGTTGATGCAGAAACATTTATTGTTGTTATTGCTGTTTTCATAAATAATGTCAGTTGCTATTTTTATTAAAAAATCATTTTGGGCCATGTGAGCAGATGATATCACTAGAGCATAGAGCATCGATGCGACCACTATTGCCTTCCCTTCCCTCCTGCCCATCATCTCTCCCTTGTCTACAGTGTTCCCACCTTTATCCTCTATGCTATGGTCAACTGATGCATCAGTGATGACTTGAAAATGGCTGCTCTCCATCTCAAATGGCATGGCAAGGACACTGACACAAAGATTCAGCAAATTGTGGGCTTTCATATTCACACTCTCTATCGTATACAGACTCACTTTTGTAGGACAGGAGATGTTGCTAAGGCTAAGGTGCTTGGACATGGCATCCTTGGAGCCTTGTAAAGGCAGATGCAGCCTACCTTATTTCTCATTCCAAGCGAAATCCTGCTCTCTTTCTCGACGAATACCAGAAACTGTCAAGCACCAACTTGGATAAGCAAGGTCGAGCCTTAGTCTGTCACTCACACTTCAGTGAAACAGAACAAAGGTAGTGATGCAGACCAGTGTTGCTGTGACTTGGCTAAACTTGGCTCGGCTAGACTTATTCTGACTTTGGTAATTGCTCTTAGCCGAGTCGGCTTTAGCCAAAATTATTACCTGAGCTCAGGCTAGACTTTGGCTTTAGCCAGCTTGAGTTCAGACTAATGTATAAATAAGGCAATTGATAAATTAAAATGCATCATTGCCCTTTTCTAAGACAAGGCCTTTGATAAATGCCTGCATATCCTCTGGAATTGATGTCTGCTGCTTGATCAATAACTCCAGCTCACGAATCTCTGACATTTCATCTGTTCCCTCCATAAAATTCAAGCCCCACCCTTTTCTTACCGAGAATTTCAACATCTGTAGTGCTTCCATTGAATCAGCGCCTAGCCGATTCCGCCGCAGAGTATCAGTCTCTTTCCTACTGGAGAATACCCACTCAGAGGGCATGGCAGTGCCTTGTATAGGCAGAACATCTAGTGTAAATGAAAAGATCATTGGGTAACGCTTCTGATTTTCCTGATATAACCTATTAATACTAAAGACTAAGTAGCTGAATCGTTGCATGCTTACCTGCCAGAACATCAAAATTGATACATCACTTCTGATCAGATCCGAGAGATATCTTTCAACCTCAACATCAAGGCTGTGCCATGGTTCTGAACTGGTAGCATTAGCATGCCTGTCCAAATGTAAGATATTTCTAGTACGAGTAAGTGGGTTTCCTGAATCTGAGGTTGTTGGTGGCACTGGTGTGTGAAGATCTGGCATATTGTGGTATTTCTGAAGCTATCAAAACAAGTTAGGAAGGATCAATGATAAATGACATAAAGCTTGCACTGTATTTATAAATAGATTCTTGACTTCAAGAACTTCCTCTGGCAAGTTTTTCTAGAACCACTGAAGCTTGTATGCAGGATGGATGACTGCTAAGATGTGAGCAAAGAATTGAAAGCTAGAGAATGACATACATATTGCCAAGGAATAGATCGGAACATTGTTGACTCGATTACAATACTCGGCAAGTTTATCGAGGCCCTTCGCAATAATGTTGGCAGCATGGGGCATTTCCTTCTGTAGTTCCTCCCACGTTAATTGCATTGCTTCAAATGCTGGGATGGTGTCAGAAATGCATGGTGTCTTTTCACATGAGAGAATTTGCTGAAATGCATGTGGAACCTGGGAAGCAATGTCAGCTGGGAAGTTCCTGAATGAAAATAAGCACACAGCAAGTATATCTTTGAAATCAGAAAGAGCACCCCACTCTGCACTACTCAATTGATACTTATGAAATCCAGGAAAGTCTTGAGAGCTAAGGAAGCTATCAATTGCCTTTAATCAATGATGAGAGCAATACAAATATGATGTAAGGAGAGAACTAACTGGACGCAGATATAGAACACGTTCAATCATGAGCAAAGTCGATGACCAGCATGTAACAACATCTTACAGTAACTGAAGATTATCAATGTGCAGAGATTCAAGTATCTCTGAGAAAATTTGATGCCTTATAGATGAGCCACGAACCTGAAAAGCAAACATCAGACAGTCCAGAATTATAATGGGTCTATCTAAGACTCACAAGCCGTACAATGGAACGAGCAGTAGCAATCGGATCACATCTGCATGTGGCCATAAAATTTGTTGGTCATCCTGGTTGTGGAACAAACTTGGTATCATCATGGGCATAGTCAATATATGTGATAGCTGTCAAAACAGCCTTGCAAGCCAGGTTGACAATGTGGGTGAAGCAGCTGACAACAGTTAGAAAGGCAGAACAAGTACTGGAATGATTGTCATACCAGATATGCTGTTTGATTGCATCAAATTCAATTCCATGTTGCATTAGTAGCGTCTCCAGGAAAGCCATCATCATATCATTGTTTGATGCATTATCCAGGCTGATCCAACCCATCTGCAAACAATATAAACACTGAATAGTGATCATTGTACACTGGCGAACATACTTTAGACACAATTCGAAGTCAATCAACAATGAAAAGGAATGCTTGTGCCAGATGTTCTCCATCATGACGGCCAGGTACATGATGGAAACCAATCAAATCGGCTTGCAGAGAAAGGGTCAAATACGGATCACCACCATTTGGAGGATGGACCTCCTTGGTTTCAATCCAATGTGCTATGACAGCCATGAAGGGCACAAGGTTGGCATTTGACCACATGTCACATGTGAAGGAGATTTTACCTAAAGCGCCCTGCACATATCTGAGCTAAGAGGCTTCCAAAACCTTCAATATTGTACACACCTGCATTTCCTTGGAAAGCTGCTTTAAATGATCCTCCCATATTTCCATAACTCGCTTCCAAATCTGTGTTCGGCAGGGAATATCATCATCGGTAAGCTCCTCGCGAAGCATCAAGAATATGCAGCAGAGCTCTGGAGACTCAACAACATTGAAAGACTATGATCATCATTAACGCTGCAATCTGATTAATGCAAGGAAAGCCTACCTGGTCATTGCTAACAATAAAAGCAACCAATGCATCAATGAATGCTTCTAAAGAGAAGCCTGGCACCTTGTCAAACCCACTAGGCAAGCTTGAATTCTGTTTCGAGTCCTGTCCCTTTGACTCCCAATATGCGGTGACAGAACCCTCAGCTTTGTCTGCTGTAATCTTTACCTTGAGTCTGTCACATGCCTCTACCCAGAGTCCCAGGTGCTTCATAAGGAGGTGGTGCTGCCAATTGCTTGTGGATGTTATTGAGTGGCCAAATGACGTTGACTTCTTCTGTGCACTAAGTATACCAGCATAGAGTCAGTATTACTTTGCATGTAGAAAGAACAATACTCACCAGCAAAAGATGCAGTGTACTCGATCTTCACGCACTTCGTAGAAGGGGCAAAGGTCAGGTAAATTAGGCATCTCAGCTGTCGTACACTTAGCATGTCAGCGCCTTCAGTTGCTCTTTGGAGTTGCAGCTACTGGCCGCAAAACAGGCATAGGTGTGGCTGGGGTTGATGGTTCAGACAAGTCTTTAATGTTGAAAGTTTTGGCACCAGAGAACTGCACATTATGCAGAGGTTGAGCATGTCTGGAACTACATTCAGGGGTGGATGTAAATGGGTTGTCATCATCAGGATCAGGCTGATGCCTATGTTGGTGAGCAGATTGCTGGGGCACAGGCGTTACAGGTGGCGGAGGTGTTGGAGGTGTACCATGTGATGTTGGAGGCTGGCTGGCTGGAGCTGGACTATGGTGTTCTAATTAACATACAGATATAAGTACATATGGCAGCCGTTGAAGATAGAAATACATACCTAAGCCTGGTATAAAAAACCGCGGATTCAATGTGCCTCCTGGATGTATGGTAATGGTCTCAGTTGGTCCAGGAGCCTCAGGATCAGCACCCGTGTCATTGGGGACCACTGTAGGTTCAGCATCTGCACCATGTCCTTTTCTGCGAGGACGTCCAGGTGGTGCCATTAAATAGACAAGTAGATAGAAAGGGAGAAAAGGAGATGGGTAGGTCAATGGGACATGCTATGCTTGCTGAGAGAGGTATTTAAGGAATTTGTGCGATGCAGGGTGGCAAAATAGAAGGTGTATATTCTGTTAACCAGTATACAGAACATTTGTAAATTACAATGACACCAGGCGACTACCGGTACCTATGGGGGCTTCAATGAGCAGAGTTAGACCAAATAAAGACTTAAATAATGCACCCTCCTTGTAATATTCACTTGTTCTACCATCTTTCACCCTGAAACTGCCTTGAGGCCTTGCTTGAGCCTTCGGCTAGGATTTGCCACAGCAGAGATGAAGAAAGCATGTTGATGGCCACAAAAGCATGCTTCAAGATTGAAAACTGGTGGTAATTTGTTTCTATGTTGTAGGGATGTTGAGGGAATGATGGTAAGTGAAGGAGGAAGTCAAGAATGAAAGTCGGTTATTGATGACCAATTTGGTCATCGATAACCAGCTAAGTCAGTGAAAAGGCTGGCTGTGGGCACCTGTGGAATAGTGAGCGGGCTAAAAGGCGAACCTCAAAAACCCACACACACACTCACACAACTACACAAACTACAATCACCCTCGTAAGTTCTAGGGGGAGCGATTATTTCTAATGCGATCTGACTATACTTCAATATCTCAAAGAGTTTCTCTTATTCTCAGCGCTCTTAGCAAAGCTAAGCTTTCTCTAATGAATCCCTAAGTCTAGGAACTTTTACAGGAAGGTCGTTCACTGGCACAATGCAACCTTCAAGGCAGATTTGAGTTAAAATACACAAGGAACACTAATCCCGACAGTAACAGAGGCAATACATGCCGAAACTTTAGTGAGCTCGCTAAAAGAACACCACAGGCAAGCACTGACTTAGCCTGCTCGCTACACAACTGTATGTAGGGGTTCTCCAACTAACTCCAGCAGGTTATCTCGACTCAAGAACACTTCAGAAGTGCTTGGAAACAGATTCAGAAATGGAACTTCGAACAGAACTGACACGGAACAGACTGAAACAGAACAGAACAGAACAGATCTCAGATTCCCACTTCAATACATTCTCCGAACAGACTTATCACACTTAACTGAACAGAAACAGTGTCACTGATTCGTATTCACTCTGACTAAGTTCTCAAAAGTCTTATCAAAAGGGTATCTCGTATTTCTCTGAGTGAGCTCGCTAATTCTATGCAAAGCTCGAAGTCACAAACTGATCCTTTGTTACAGTACCACCTTCAACACGTGCACAGGAACTCGGGGGCTCGAAACTTGGCTTCTACCTACTGTAACCAGCCTACTTATACTACAGGGGAATTAGAATTACAAACGTCGCACAGTACCCAGACTCCTACATGTGTAGCACGTTGCCACCACTGCCTTACTGAGCATCCAAGTCGGACTTCCCAGTTTTAGTCTCATTTCTATAGTGAGCTCGCTAAACGCATGCCAAGAGATGCTCTCCTGACACCCACAGGCTTGTTCTCTAGCAACTGACAGGTCTAGGTGCACGGAACTATCAGTCCTGGCATATGTCGTTCAAGACTTCTTTCTTGGATTCACAGAGGCTTCTCGTAGACATGGCAACAAGTGAGTCTTCTAACAATGGGACTCAGAACAATGGGATGTGGGCTTGTGGACTTCAGCTGAAGCCCATTGCCCAAGTTCGTGCTGGTGATAGCTGTTATCTTGCTTAAGGATTTCCCTGGATTTTCAGGTACAACGCGTCACAGTTAGCGAGCGTGCTAAGTATTCTCAGTGTCACTGCAATCTTCAAAGTTTTATCTAGCTCCCATGAGCGTGCTTGTAAGTTAGAGCCTAAGGCATTGGGTATAGGGTTTGGCCTTCTCATCACGCATGCCTGTCAGGTACAGTGCCGTGACTAAGTCCTGTTTAGAATCCCATTGCTTCTTATGCCATAAGTTATATTCCATATCATTGCACCGTGTAGCATTAGTGTTGACACATAGTTTTAGTCTGCTCGCTCACTATATCTCAGTATGCATGTAAAACACTTTAGATTGCAAAATTACATGTGTAAATAGGCTGCAGTTGCAACATCAGCTCAAGCCGACTCCAAACGGGGCTTGAGCTCAGAATTAGCCTGAGCCAATCAAAGGCTCAGACTCAGCTTAATCCGGTTCAGCTACATGACTAAGCAGCTTTTAGCTGAGCTGTGGCAACACTAATGCAGACTGCATAAAGATGTCAGGACTTAGATAGTTGTGGAACTTGGAGTTCAGATAAGAGTTGGGAGTATATAACCTTAGCTAAAGCTGAGGTTTAGGCCCACAGCTGAGGCTGCTTAAATACAAGTTATGGTAGAGTAATAATAACTATGCTACTATGATTCCATGATAAAGAATGAGTGTCATATATCCAATGGTGAGTTGCCAATGAAAGGACTATCCAATGGTGAGTGGCCAGCGAGATGAGCGAGGTTCTGGAAGAGTGGTGCCCTTGTGGCTGGGACTCTGCCTGAGTAAGAATGACTGAACTCATCCACTGCGAACCAGGGATCAAGTGATGCAGAAGTGAATATTGATGATCGGAACAGTGATGTGATGATGGGAGATCAGAATGTGATGCAAGGGTAGTGGAGTAGGTTACAAATGAGCTGGATAGGGGTTAAGGAGTGATGATGAGGGTTGGATTACGATTGAGGAAGAATGATGTGAACCAAATGACTAAAGCAAAAAATAGGGGTGAATTCATGACAGAAATGACTTGAATGATATCGCCTTGTCCATGCTTCACTTACCACTATCCATAATGATTTCTGATGTGCTGGCTTCAGTGTCAAATGAATCGAGAAAATGGCTAAAGAATGATGCCCTGTCAAACATGCAAGCTTTGTTCGACAAATTTCCTGGTACCCAGTCTTGTATCTCTTGTGCATGGATGAAGTTTTGAAGGACGACTGAACATATGCAAGGCTGTTTGCCTGGGCACCCAGAGGTCAGAGAGCACTTGTTAGCCAGCCATTTGTTCGGAAGACACAGTTCTCTATGTGTGCAACAATGGCATTGGGAGAGGGAATTGTTGCTTCAAAGGTTGTTGAGGGTTCGTTTGACTGAGAGAAGTTTATTGTGTACCTCAGAGATGATGTGGTGCATACTGTAACTGCTGTCACAGTGCTTGATCACTGAATCCTGATGCTCTCTCTAGTTGCCATACACCAACCAATATCCAGCACCTTGCAGTGTTCTAGTGATGGACAATGCTCGCATACACCATTCTGAGGAAATTGAAGAACTTGTTTGTGCATATGGTATGTTGGTGGTATCAGTCCTTTGTCAGATATGTTGAATTGACTATCTCCAGGCTGTCATATTGAATATTTACCATCATATTCACTGGATTACAATCCTATTGAGCAGGCCTTTTTCATTATCAAATCCTATTTACGGCATCAAGGTATCGCATTTTTTCAGTCCAAGTTCCAGTACTATGAATTGTATCTTGCTTGTGAAGTGATAACAGCTGAAATGACATATGGATTCTTTCATAATTCTGGTTACTATGTTGAGTAGAAGCTACAATATTGGCATGATGTATGAATACAGTGAAGCATAACAATCATTATGAGCATGAAAGCAATTTATAAAAGCAGTGATGAGCTCGGAGCAAGGTTTGAAAGCAAAGACAAAGCAAGATAAAATACACACATCCACATCAAGATTGTACTCCCATGACCACCTCTCCTGTGCATCATGAATGTCTCCTATCTCTGCCAGATCTAGCTTGACCTTCTCTGTCAAAAGATCATCACTGAGGAAACAGAGCAAATGGGGACCAGTGATTTTGAAGACCATCAATTTAAAGCAAATGTCATCAGTCAGGGCATACCAGGTACAGAACTCATTAAGGCTTATCTTTGCTGCCAAGATGTTGGTTGATATCTCTGCTAATGGCATAGCCCATGTGGGAGCAAGTTCCAGAGCTGAACAAATGCCCAAGACATCACCAAGACCAGGCAATATGATGCTGACAGATAGGGGGCTAGATGCAGTATGTTTATGGAGGTTTGCATTCTGTTGCTTGAGCAAGGCAAGGTCCTCTGGAGATCATGATAAGTGAAACATGTTGCTGTCTGGTGGATTGTTCTTGTCAACGCCATCAACACCCTTAATCTAGCTAAATGAGCATAGTCCTATTGCATAGGAAAGCATAATCATGTACAATAGCTGCTGCCCAGGTCTCAAAGTGCACAGATATCAATGCAATGTGCTTTCCAGAGCTTGCATCAACCCAGCAATACTTTGACTTGCATGCTACATCCTCGCACACAGTCTCAGCCTGGATCTCTCATGTGGTGACCTCTTGCCCACCTAATGCACTATCAGAATATCCATCAGAGACAAGAAATGAACTCACTGTTTTCTGTCTCTTCTTTGGGTGACCATCTCCATGTGAAGGCTCCTGCTCTATCTCATTATCTGCCATCGCATGCCGATTACTATCATCCTAATGCAAGAGTTGAACAACTGAACATGCGAGAAAGTCAGAATCACATACCTCAACCTGTGTTATCTCCAAAATAACTTCCACCTGCTTTTGCGTCAGCTTTGAGGCCTGCTCAATCATATCACTGTAAGAGTCGGAGTGGTCAAGGCTGATACCCTTGTTGCTCATGTGCTTGATTGACCAGGTAGCCAAGAATGTTTTCACACATAGTTGTCCACCAATGACATGAAAGTCCATTGTAGCATCATCCTGGCAAATTGACTTGATCACCTTTTCAAGAACTAATGCAAAGTAGTCATGTTCATGCACATAGAATACACCTGAGATTGCTTTTGGCTTTGAGTGCAGACAGCCTCTTTGCCCAGGGATGGGAGGTGCTGGCAAGAGGATAGAAAATAATGTTGAATCCAAGGGGGTTGTGGGCCATCAGCCCAGCACATCTGGTTGGTCAGTTGGTTGGCCAAAAAGGTCACTAAAAATAATTTTGCCATACCGACCAAAATAGCATATGGGCATCCCATATTCAATGATAACTCCCAATTTACATCTCAAATGACCAAAAGCAGCTCCAGAACCCGAGATACACTGAATTCTGTTCTGCCATTTATCAGCACAGCAATTAGTCAGATGGGTTTGGTCATAAAATATTTTCTTCTAACCATCTGCCACTTTTATGTCGGGTTTTGTCTCCTGGCTTTGCCTACATATAGGCATGAGATGATGTATATATTCAGTATCTGATTGTCAGGGATAAATATTAGGAGTAGCCAGGTCCTGCAGCATTTGATAAAGTATGACGAGGGAAAATATCATGTAGAGACCAAGGTAGAGATGTGCAAAAGGACAATGGCCAAAAATCTCAAGTGATATGTAAGCTGTATTAGTCACAGAATCTATCCTTTATGGGTATGTTATTCCCACATGGTTGGTCAGTTGGTTGGTGGAGGGCTTAAAAATAATATCGACCTGATATGATTTTCTTAACTTTTACTACCCCCTTGGTTGAATTGTATTCTCTTGCCATCATTGAATGCCAAGTCTGATGATGGTATAGTGAACCAATAGTAGCTCAATGAAGAGGGCAGCTTTCTGTCTGCCTACCTGATCCAAGATCATCCTAAGATTCCGTGTCATCATCACCCGAGACAGACATATTGAGAAATAAAGGTAGAGAGAATCACAGGCAAGGGAGAAATGATGGGCAGGAGGGAAGGGAAGGCGACAGCAGTCATGTCGATGCCCTAGTGATGTCACCTGCTCACATGGCCCAAAATGATTTTTTAATAAAAATAGTGACTGACATTATTTATAAAAACAGCAATAATCAGAGACATCATTTCTTTCCCAAATTGCCTATCAATTCTTCCACATCAGTCAATGCCAGCCTCCAGAGCTAAAGAAACACCACTGGTGAGATACAACTCTAGACTAGGTCTTGCACTCGTAAACATGCATTTGGCCAACATGATCCTTTAACTTCCTTTGCAACTTCCTTTGACTATTGCCACACCTTTATCACAACATCTACATGCGTCAATATGCCTATCTAGTCATGATCTAGGACCTGGTTCAAGGCACTCCATGGCTCTTTGTCTAGAAACACGTTGGTGACACTTTGATACTCCACTGTCAGCATGGAGAAGGGATGCTGCTGCTGCACACAGCATTTCAGATGTCCATCTTGATTCAGTGGAAAGCTGAATATATCAATGGCCCACTCATGATCTTTGATGGGGGTTTCTGTGCAAAAAGCCTAGATTGTTGTTTTGAGTTGGTGGTTCTTAGTAGTACTTCTTACAGCAGATAATGTGAGCTTTTTTATGTGGTGTTGCACTGTATCCAATCTTCATTATCTCTGTCCAATTACTACTCCCATGTCATGGGACATGCTTTGTCCTCTCCAACCTCATCCAGCTTCATGTTTACAATCTCTCATTACAATACTATCCTGATGCTGTTCAGCTCAGGAAAATTCTTGAGTTAGCCAGGATACACTTCGAGTTTTAGGACTGTCTGAGACCATAAATAACATGCAATCATATTTATATTATCGGCACATCAAACACCTGGATTCCTGCTACATCAAAATATGCTGTTCATCATAGACATGAATAATATCTCTCGCCATCATGGAAGCACACAACTCTTGAACTGTATTCCCAATATCCTTTGCAACTTCCTCTGACCCTTGCCATGCTTTCACCACAATGTCTATGCACCTCAATGCACCCATTCAGTCATGGTCTAGCACCTGGTTCAGGGTGCACCAAGACTCCTTGTCCAGAAATACATTGGCAACACTATGATGCTCCACTATCAGCGTCATATACCGAATCTTTGATGTTTCCTCCCTGCCTAGTGCCCTGACCCACCAACACATCACCCTGAGAACATCAGTAAGTTAGCATCTGTATGGTAAGCATGAGACCATGCCAATCATGCAAGTTATACCAGTATGCACATGTATGGCATTATAAAGTACCTGCATAATTTTATACACTCATGTATAGCTAATTATACCTACTATGCACAGCTATACATGTATCCAATGTTGTGTCTATCAATGCATGGCACTATGCTCCCATGGTCACTGCTTTTGTATATGGCCTCACCACTGGCACTGGCTTACTATGCACACTGGCTTTGGATAGTAGCAAACATTCTGATATTATATTTGAAAAGAAGACTACAAGACTGTAACAAGTATGTGGCAAGTCATCCTAATACCTATACCACCGATTCTGAGACTACCACTGAAGAGATACTAGCTGAGAGTTCAAGAGGTTAGTGCAGTTCAAAGGTTTGAAGAAACGGTGCAACAAACCTTAGTCTGACAGTTCAATATCATCAGGGGACAGCGGCTTGGTTCCATTGTCGCTGCTTGCACCTCCCGTTGCTTGCTCTAACTGCACAGCTGTTGCTAAGCCCTTTTTCTTGATAATGACCTCAGCACGGCAAAAGATGTCATCCCATTTTTCTGCCATGAGAGCAGAGGTGCGAGGATAATAGAAAGATCATGCCTCTTTCCCCCCAAGGATTGTCCTTGAAGCTGTCGGGTGTGTTCTTCGCACCTCGTCATCCATTACTGCTTGTACTTGCACTGTTTGTAGTAAGAGAGTTGAAACCATTTCACCATAGCATAAGTGCATGTCTGACCTATATGCACTGGGATATAGGAAGCCAACATTGTGAGATGATAGGAGGACTCACCGCTGCACAAGTCAATGCCATAGCTCCAGCCAGATCTCCGTAGTTCCCTCCATTCTGCTGTGAAGTTGCTGTGTGTTGGGATTTGCAACTTCAAGCTCATACTAGAAGATTCCCGAAGCTTCAGCTTACTCATTTGTCACAATACTTAGATATATTTAGTACTTTAGGTAGAATATTCTAGATACTTTTCATAGTATATAAGGAGCTCATTAGGAGCTCTTGTAGCTAACAATTAGGTATTATTCCTACTGCAAGCCTCCCACTGTTAGAGTGCCAACACTGTGAATACCATATTCACATGAAACATGAATACATCAATCACAAGCCATCCATGGAACACTCCATGGTTTTCCTGTACCTCATCTCAGCTGCTTGTAAGATGGCACAACTGAACGTTCACATTACTGTCTTATCAGGAGACTCATATAAAAACCAGAATGAAGCCAGCATGTCTTGAACCCAGTCAGATCAACTCTCAACTGTATTGTACTGCTTCATGTCTTCCTGAAGCCAAAGGTTATCCATGCAAGCCATGGCATACTTCCCAATTTTTCTCCTATAGGTTTGCATAGCAGACATTGCCTAGATGTAGGAATGTGTAAATAGCTTGATCAGAGGACAAGAATGACCTACCACATGATAGATGGGTGGATGATCTACTCGCTTGATGGTTTTTCCTTCATACTGCACAGTTTCTTGTAGGTTCTCGAAGAATCGGATCCATTCTTGGGCAACCACATTCTTGAACTCAGGATGATTGTTCGAGGCAAATGAGTCACTAAGGGTTGTGCTCCAGTCGATGATGTGAGGGATGACCTTTTGCTGCCAGGTCTGGAGATGATGAGAGGAGAGAGGTAAGTCCTTATTAGTCCACTGAGTCCATGCTTTTGCTGGTTTCTTCTCATGCTCCTTCTTGTTGATTTCAGCCACTGCTGCAGGTTGTAGAACAACTTCATGCTCTTTCTGGAGAAGCCATTAGCAGCTGTACTCTCTGATAGATGAAATCGAACCTTGATTTCACTCTTATGGCCACCTTTCGCTGCCCTGGCTGCCAATGTGGCTTTGTGTGCTTCCTCTTTTTCTAAGACTCCACCTTGGTTGAACTGGGTCTCAGCAGCACCATCCATGAAAGTAGTAGATGCCAAGGCACCAGGCTGCATATATACTGCCTCCCAATTCTTGGCCAATCCTCCGACAGTGCTCCCTTTACTACACTTTTGAGGCTCGACTCTGTGAGAAGGCTATGCAGTGAGCCAATTTATTTATCGTGTATGCAGCGAGGACTTACCTATCATCTAAAGAGCTAGTTTCTTTATGCTTAGCAGCAATCCTTCCCTTTGACACTCCAATGACAGTGGGAGGGACTTTGTGTACTGCATTGATTGACTCCCTTGCAATATGCTTAGCTCACTGTAAGCAATCCTTTAGCCAAGTAGAAGGTTACTAATAAATCACATACTTTAGCCTTCTCCGCCTTTAGTGCTTGCTTGTGTCGAGCTATAGTCTTCTTCTGATCAATCATTTGCACCCTCTTCCACTCATGGAATGCTGTGAGTTCAGCTGCATCAGCCTCTGTGAGATTGTGGGTACTGCTATCCTCCAAGTCGGATGAGGGTTGGTAGGCCTTGTCACTGTCATCATCAGTGTCATCTTCCACAGCTAAACCAGGTTCTGAATGGCCTTCACTATGGTCTTCAGCATCAACATCCATGAGACCCTCTGAATTGGTGTCTGGTGGTGCAACTGGTGGCAGTTCAACCGCATCATAGGGATCCTCCACAGCATCAGCATCCTCTGCACTGTCCAAGCTCATGCCTATTCCGGGTGGTGGACTTGCCATTGAAGATTGAGGAGCACCCAGCATGTTTGTGCTGAGAGTGGATGGCAGGACTGATTCTTTACTCTCAGCAGGGATCACGTAGCGGCTACTGTGTCAGGGTGGGTTTGGTAAGTCTGTTATCTCGAGATCAGGGCATAGAGAATGATGACTCTTCACTGCAGATGCTTCCTTGTCCTCAAAGGCAGCAACTCTTGCTTGTGATACCTTTCTCTCCTGCTGCTTCTCTGCTTTTTCTGCAGCTGCTTTGTCCTTCTTTTCTTTTGCCAGCCTCTCCTTCGCCTCCTTCTGTTCTCATATCTGTTCATGAGTGCATCTCTGTAGTTCAGGAGGTATCACAACCTGGCATGCATGGGTTGTGGAATGTTCCAGCATTGTCATAGCAGAGTGAAGATGACGGGAATGTCACAAGGAGTTTTAGCTTAGGAGAGTGGAACTTGGTTGATTTTTTTTGCCTGGTTGGGTAAGCTGCCTTGCATTTCAAATTACCACTCTGCCTCTTACCATTATGCCTTGCAAAGTATCCAGACATGTTACTGACTGTATTACTTGTCCATACCAGTGTGGAAAGACCTTTATCTTGCAACAAGGGTGTACGCAGCACATTGTGATCCACAGGCAGGATCCCAGCCATCATTTCTCCATGCAGACCCCTACCATGATATCAATGACTCCTCCAGCTGATTCGGGTCATTGCTCTCCACAAATTGATCACTCATTCCTTTTGGAACATGATGATGATGACCTTGCCCACCATGAAGATCCTGAGTCTAGCAGAAACACTATGCAGGGCTCAAAGAAGTTCCATCCTTATTTAAATGGTATAAGTGTCTAGCCACCCTCATGAAGAAACATGGGGCTCATGTTCCTTCTCTAGGTATTCCTTGCAATGCAGATGGCCAGGATTTGCCACCAAATTCCCCACCTCCCCCACTGCCATCACGGAGTGAGAATCCATGGTCCTCCTTTGACAATGAAGTTCAATTCCAGGTTGCTGACTTTCTGTTTCAGAAGGTTGAGATGTTGGGGAGAGATATTAATCACCTCATAGAGCTTTGGAATCTCTCGATGCTGGGCAGTGACACATCAGGGCCTTTCAGGAATCATGAAGAGATGTACAGTACGATTGATGAGATTGCACTGGGTAGCACACCATGGAAGTGCTTTGTCTGTCCTCCAGATCTGCATTTGTTAAGCACTAACTCGAACCTTCGCCAAAGCTGGTCTCTATCCTGTCACTCGCGTTCGGTGATTCAGTGTTAGAGAGGCGTTGGTAGATTGCAAGAAGTTAGGCGTCACTTATAGCGAAAGCAAGGAGCTTGTAAGAGTTAGGAGTATATAACCTTAGCCAAAGCTGTGGTCTAAGGCCACAGCGTAGGCTAGCTTAAATACAGGTTAGACTCGTGCTAAGAATAGTGTCTACAAGGGTGCATGCAGCGAGAAGTGTGTCGTTCAACGAATGAGGAGAGAGGACACTAAAAGAAGTGTACTCCCGACGAATGAGAGTAAAGAGTGCATATCACCTGCATCTGCGTGGGACTCCGTCTGAATGGGCTGCATCCCGTAGACCGCCCTCGACTGGCGGTCGACTCTCGTCCAACTACTAAGAAGCATGATGCCATCAAGAGAAGTGTGATGGCGCATGCGGGTCGCTGGTCATCTGGGGGCGGCAGCGTGAACTGGGGTGATGGCAGCCGGGTAACCGGGTAAGGAGTGTGCCGGCAGAATATCATGGGTCCGGGAGATAAGATAGGTAGGTCCGGGGTTCTGAGAGATAAGGATAAGATAAGATAAGAAAAATAGGGGTAAAACTGTAATAGCATTTGCCTGCATCTGCACCAGATTGGCAGCGACAGTCATATCAGGTGTGATATCATGATCCAGCTATGGTTATTGCAAACATGCTGGCAAATCCTGACTTTGCCCAAGAGTTCAAGACCACTCCATATGTTCATCTGGGACCAGATAGGCAGTGGCATTGGAGTGAATTCATGTCTGGAAACTTTGCATGGCGACACACAGTATGTTAAATTGGTATCATTTACACTGATGTTGCTCATGAAGATGCATATAGACTCAAATATATGAGACTGATCCCTCCACATATGGTGCCATGCTAGTACCTATCATTCTTGGCAGCGACAAGACAACAGTGTCAGTCGCAACTGGGAATGTTGAGTATCATCCAGCCTATATCTTTATCAGCAACATTTTTAATCATGCTCATCATGGCCATTGAAATGCTGTCATGCCTTTTGCGTTCTTGGCTATACCAAAATGTAAACCATCACTATCAGATGCCATATTCTTATACTAACCATCCACAAGCAGATTGCAAATACGACAATGATGTTGACTTTTGCAACTTCAAGTGCAAGCTCTATCATGCATCACTAGCCGCTATTCTCCATTCTCTCAAGCCAGGAATGACAACTCCAGTGGTTCAGCATTGCCCTGATGGTCATTTTTGGAGGACTATCTATGATTTGGCAGCTTATATTGCTGACTATCCTGAGCAGGTGCTCCTTGCTGGAGTCGTGTCAGGCTGGTGTGTAAAGTAAGGTCATCTTTGTATCCAACAAACAAGTCTAACTCTGCCCAGGTGTACTGCCTTAGCTTCAGATCTGAACATGCCAGCTGGCTTGCACTCTCATGAACATGCAGAAATGCTACAACAAGAATTCTATGATAACAGCACCTTGTTATGGGACAATTATGGTATATTGATGATGAAATCTGGGTAAGCATTCAGTTCTTGGGGTGATAAGTACAGTTCTCATGCTCTCACATAGCCATTTACTTTAGAATTTCCCTGAGCAGATATCTATGAGATGCTTACCTCAGATCTGCTTCACCAGATCATCAAAGGATCATTTAAAGATCATCTTGTAGAATGGGTTGGAGAGTATCTCGAGATAACAGTTGGTGCAGTGCGAGCAAAAGAAATTATGGATGATATTGACCAATGGTAGAGTACAATATTACCTTTTAATTACAGCTTTGACTAATGATATCATTGATAGCATTGCCACAACTCTGCCATTTCCTGGTTTACAGTGATTCCCTCATGGTCAGCACTTCAAGCAATGGACTGGCGACGACTCAAAGGCATTAATGAAGGTATGGCTTAGTGAATATTTTTACGGAACTAGAATAGCCTTGCTCATACACCTTGATAGGTCTATCTTGCAGCAATAGCAGACTACATGGACAACAATATTGTTTGCATGTTTGCTGCCTTTTTGGACTTCTGCTATCTTGTTCAGCAATCTGATATTGATGAGAGCACACTTCTCTCAATCTCAGAGGCTGTTGATCGCTTCCCACCTCATGCTGCAAGGAAAGGCCTTTGGCTATGCTAATCAGCAATTGAGTGGATTGCATATTCAATGCTTATTGGCAAAGGCACCTACTAGGCTACATATGGCTGGCATGCACATGCTTGGTCATACACTGCCACATCCTATTTCAGCTAACTGGCTCATTTTGAGTGCCAGGATCAGGTGCAGCTCAAATTTCCACCCCTGTGCTCACTGTGTAGGTGCATAAAAAAGCGGACTGGGCAGGAAAAACATATATATACATATATCACCTAACAGCCCAACGTCACGCAGCCAATATTGGCTGGATCCGTCAATGCAGGTTTGGATAACCTTTTATTTTGGGGGGCCAATCGTGCACATCTGAGAAAAACCTTACACCAAGAGAGAATTGAACACACACTATACACATCAAACATTGTCAAGAACAGGTCAATTAACCACTACACCACTAAGCCACATATACACAGAAAATTGGGTAGTATACATAGGGCTCCTAGCTCAATATTCCAGAAATAAAAAAATTAGGTACCCATACGCTGGGCACAGCAGGTGTGGGCATCGACGGCGGGCATCATGCATATCATCAACAGCAGCATTGCATCCCTGTACATCTAAATGGACGGTTTCCAGGCGGTCAGACACGACAGGACGTCCGTGGGATGGGGAAATGGGGCAGGGAGGCATCGGTGCCCTTTTTCATGGAGATGGCGATGTCCGAGGTGAAAAAGGACCTTGCCGTTAAATTCCCCAACATTGAAAAGGGGGGTGGAGAGGTCTGGGTGGTGGTGGCTATGTTGTAGGGGTAGTTATACAGTGAAAGGAGCGGGGATGGGGATGAGGTAGTGACGCCCAGCGACGAGAGCATTGGGGGCAGTAGCGCATAGCAGGGTCATGTTCCCCCACCCAAATAATGGGGGATGTACAACTCTGGGGTGGCTGGGGTGCGTGGGTGGAGCGGGGGAGGCCGATGTTGGATTTCAGCAGGGTGGGCGGCGGTGGGCGGGTGAATCGTCATATGGGTATGCTTGTGGGCTCATTCGTTGTGCCCTTGGGTCCTCCATTGACACCCAAAAGGGCATGGATATTGTCATCATTGTTCAGTGTCAGGATCCCAACCTTGTCCCACCATCCTGCTCGTCCTCTCCTGCCCTCCTACCTTTTCTGCATCTGTTCTCCCTCTGCATGAGCCCTCCCCAAGATGCTGCCATGGCCCTGCATCAGAGGAAAAATCCCTCCACCACTGTCATCGTCCTCGCCGTCCTGCTCAGTGTCGTTGTTCTCGTTGTTGGTTGTGCATTGTGTAGCACCTCCCACGGTGAGATGGTGGCCGATATGAGATCCCCGGATGGATTCCACTATATTGTAGCATGCGGAAGTTGTGGGTGATGGCGATTGGCACCGATGTCGCTATGGGGGATCATGGGTCGGTCAGCATAGGGATGGGGGTCACATTGGGGTCATGGCAGGGTGTGGGTTGGCAGCATCATTGTCATTGAGTGTAGTGACCTCCATGGCCATTGCCTGGGAGGTTGAATAGTACTGCCTCATTCGAGGGCTTATGTGGGGGGTGGTGGGCAGCAGGATGGATGCTATCTGGGGCTCTTGGGGCCACTGGATGCGCTGAAAAGACCTAAAAGAAAGTAATAAGCAATGAAAATAAATAAAACATATCTTGCTTCACAAATACAGCATTATTTACGGGCTACATGAGCGTAGAGATGACACAATGTGGGCAGAAAAGAAGCCCCACAGCCACTCGATCACTATGCAGATTTACAGTCTGGGGTGATCGAGCGAGCAGAATGCATGCTCGGGATGCATCCCCTCCTCGACTCTGGCACTCCGAAGCCCCGGAAATCATCGGAATACATTCTTATGACAGTGAGAAGTGCTTTTAGTGATTTTGTTTTATATTTTAATGCCTCAAACAGTGGTTAATATGCATTAAATTGTATATTAACCCCACTTTTAAACACTTGCTAGCATATACCTGTTGTATGCCATTCCCTGTACCATCACACCAACTCAGATGCACTTAATAAGCAAGGATATACATCGTACTATCCAACCAATGCATCCGATCCATGGCAATCTGTTAGAGTAAACCTTATTATTGACATTGTTGCTTGAGTGAAGCAATATACTATTATGCCGTGTTCTCATTTCATGTACGTTTGTCTGACCAAAACTCATTAGTGCTGGCATAGGTACATTTTGAAGCCAATAATAATCTAAATGAGTTTCTAACATGGTTTTCTCTGAAATTCACTCTAATTTGAATGTGTACTGTTTTATATAGCCCTCAAAAAGTGGTAAACATGCATTTTTCATCATCATTTACATGTAATGATCTATGAGATGGAAATTGTGGACAGATAATTTATTTATGAAGTGAAAATGAACTAATAGACACTACTCAGTGTAGTTTAGAGGGCCAGGGGAGTTGCATGGCAGTATAATTACAAGTTATCGCACTATGCACCCAAATTCACAGTGGTCTGGCAAACTCCAGAATCATTGAAATATTACTTTCTCACTTGTTATCTGTGTGCTACAGGGCTACAAGAAGGTACAGTAAGCATATGTAAATTTCATACACATGCTACAATAAAATCAAGGGCAATATACTGTCTACTATCTCCAAAATTCTGCCTGCTTTCAAAAATTGCCAGCCTACCAAAATGGGCATGATATATTCCCACAGTAAGTACATCCAAGCATGCGTGTACAAATCCAGCCAAAATGAGCCACGGGTGGGTGCAGAAGGGGTACCAGTATATCAAATATTATTTTATAGGCCCGTACGATTTTTTTCAGACCCAGGCAATGAGCGGGAGGGCAGGAATTTCAGTGCTGTCCGAGCCAGTGCTCAAACCACCCATTTGTGGGGTGGCTGTGTTTTCATATGAGCTGCTCTTTTGCCTCAAACAGCTGCATTGGCAATCTGCATTGATTTTGCAATTTGCTCCACTGCTAAGCAGCATTGTAATTTGACCAAATTCTACAGCATGGCCTGCACTTCCACCGATGTTGCAAGATTTTCATTACTACAGGTGTTTGCAATGATTTCAACCTTCCATGACAGCATGCCATGATTCATTACATGCAGCATATCATAGAATTTGGCATCCCTAATGGCCTTTGCTCTTCGATAACTGAATCACATCACATCACTGCAGTCAAAAAGCCATGGCGACATTCAAATCATTATAATGCTCTGAGTCAAATGCTACTCACTAATCAATGGCTGGACAAGCTCAATGCTTTGTGTTTGGAGCTGGTCCACAATGGTCTAATCCCTCCGACTCATACACCTCCACCAGATCCATTCGAGACTGGAGATGAAGACAGTGGCCCTGTTGATGATGAGCACCTCTTGGCATGTGTCTATCAGGTGCAAACACGAGGTTCATGTTTTCTCATCTGCTAATGTATCTCTGAGGCTGACTCTTGCTTTAGAGTGTGGTTATCTGAGAGATATTGATGCACTTGCACAATACATCTAGCAGCCACTATTGCTAGAGCTAACTTGCCGCTTTCTTTATGAGCAGCTGTATGATACTCCTGCAGATGCTATCGATATCGACACATGCTCGTTTATCACTTCCAACATCTATGTATATCATTCAGCAGTTGCATGCTTTTATGCTCCGAGTGATATGTCTGGTATTCGTGGTATGCATCATGAGCGAATTCACTCAATGCCATCATGGTATGGACATGTCCGCCAAGATTGCACTTTAGTGGTGGAGAATGAGGATCAGGCTGGATTGCAGGGAATGAGTGTGGTTCGTATTCTTTTGTTCTTTTCTTTTATTCATGATGGTACCGAATATCCTTGTGCACTGGTGCACTGGTTCAAGAAACATGGACAACGCCCTGATGTGACAACAGGAATGTGGGTTGTCAAGCCAGATTATCAGGGGAGGAATCAGTGCCCATGGATTAGCATAATTCATCTTGATTCTTTGGTCCATGGGGCACATCTTCTTCCAGTCTTCGGACCAAGGCCTATGCCTCTTAACTTCCACTACTTGTACTCTCTAGATTCTTTCCAAGCTTTCTATGTAAATAAGTATATTGATCATCATGCCAATGAAGTTGTATTTTAAAAGACATTTTATAGAAGATGTTGAGCCTATCTAATTGTATACTCAGAAATTGCAAGGCCTTTGCAGAAAAGTCAATTTTGGCAATAAAAGAAATTGTGCTGAAGTAGATTCAAACTTGGGACTGCACCAAATACAGGTGAAAAAAACACATCAAAGCCATTCAACCATACCAGACTGTATACAAGTATATTGTCCATAACTAAGTCAGATACGCATGACTCTGCATAACAGGAAATCTCATATACCTGCCACACTGGCTATACTCACCACATGGATGTGAACTTACTGATGAAAGCAATCTGATGAGAATGTTACTGAAAGTGACTGTAAATGGTGCACATCCAATGGCAGGCATCGATTAACTTTAATACCGATTAGCATGTACTCCGAAGGGAGAATGTCAAGCACTTACCATGATCCACCAGTAGTACACAATCATTGACCACCAATTCCTCCAGCAAATCCTTCAACAGATCCACTAACACCCTAACCAGCTCCATCTGTGCCCTGTAGCACCTTTTCACCCTCAGCTTCTTTAATCTCCCGAATGATATCACCCATGGACTCGCTATCAGCACTTCAACCACTCTCACACTTCCCTCCATGTTCACCTCCAGCTTCTCAATCTCCAGTGGTTCCGTCGTCTGCCCCATAAGCACCACTGGATATGGTGGCACCGTAATCACACCCAATGCCAACTTCTGTTGGAGTTATGAGGTAGGTGCTCAGATGTGGTAACAGAAGGCAGGCTCAAGAGAAAAGGAGTGAGCAACGCTGAATAAGACAATGTTGTGTCAATCTCAGCATGTTGATAAAAAGCTATGTATTATATACCTGAATAAGACAACATTGTGTCACTACAATATGATAAGTATGTTACCAGGGCGAATATACATAGAAGTACTCACATCTCAGTGTGTTGGTAAAAAGCTGAGATGTGAGGCTGTGCATCGCAAAACGAAAAAGGTGAGAAATATCAAATACATGTCCATGTGCATCTTGTACCACTACTACTATGTCTAACACTCTCCCTCGAGATGTACACAGCTTGTTTACACAACACCCAGCGCTTTCATAAACTTTTTGAACTTTGAGCAAGCCAATGGTTTCGTGAGAACATCAGCAATCATGTTGTCAGTTGGGCAGTACTGCAACTCAACGTGGCCTTGCTCAATGGTTTGCTGGATGGAATGGTAATGGATTCCAATATGCTTTGTATGTTCATGGAATACTGAATCCTTGGCAATAGAGAGGGCATTTTGACTGTCAGAATAGAGACCAGTGGGGTTTGATGGATAGATGGAAGGGTTTGCGATGAAGGTGGAGAGCATGGAAAGGAGCTTGTGCAGCCAGATCATGTTCTTTGATGCTGGTGTCAGCCCAATGTATTCCAATTCACCAGTGGAGACAGTAACAATTGGCTGTTTCCTTGATGTCCACATGATGGCACCCTGACCCATGAATAGCACAAATCCGGACATAGATTTCTGCCCGGGCTGGTTAGCATATGCTGCATCATGATAGCCCTTAGGGTTGATATCAGGGCCACCAATTACGAGCTGTTGGTCACGCATACCCTTGAGATAGCGAAGGACTCGAAATCCGGCCTTCAGGTGAGTTGAATGCGGTTCCTCTACAAATTGTGAGAGCGCTGAGACCGAATAACTGATTTCAGGATGAGATCCGACTGTGACATACATGAGGGAGCCCAGGAGCTCATGGTAGAGTGCCTTCTCATGCAGCATAACCGGTTCCATGGATATAGAAGGTGAGTTTAGGTTCAAATCAAGATTTGCTTCCATTGGTGTCATGAATGGGGCCATTTCCTCAACGCCAAATCATTTTGCAATCTGGTCAATGTATGCAGGTTGCCCAATACTGATGGTGTGTTTCTTCCAGTCCCAAGTGATGTGCATACCCAGCAGCCAGTGAATAGGCCCGAGATCAACTAGCTCAAAATGAGAGCCAATTTCTCGTTTGAATCGGTTTGACCCCTCTTGGGAGTTTGCTATAATGGTAAAGTCATCCATAGCAACTGCGACGATGGTGTATTTGGTTGCTGACTTGATCCGATAGAAGATGGTCTCATCCGCGTTGCTGACTGTGAACCCAAGAGATATCATTGTTGACTTTAGGGTCTGGTACCAGCCTCGGCCTGCTTGTTTTGTGCCATATAGACACTTGAGTAGCTTGGCACAGACATTCTGGCCCTTGGGGTGTTCCGGGATTTCGAAGAATTCTTCGTATCTGTTCAGGAACTTGATGTAGATTTCCTCAGTGATATTGGCATGCAGGTATGCGTTTTTGATATCTGCTTGATCAATTATTGCATCGTGAGAGGCAGCCATGGACAGTAGGATGCGGAGAGTAGGGAGGCGGACAACCGGGGCATAAGTGTCAAAGTAGTCAACACCTTGAATTTGAGTGAATCCTTCAGCTACAAAACGTGACTTGGCCTTTTCAGGCTCACCAATCTCATTCCGTTTGACCTGGTAAACGAACCTCATGTCCACGATATTTGCATTCGTGGGAACGTCTTCTCTTTTCATCACCTTCCATGCCTTCTTCTTCTCACACTGCCTCACTTCTGTGAGCATCGACTCATGCCATTCCCCTTCATCAGGACCACTCAGTGCCTCTTTCATAGTCACTGGTTCAACATCTGCTATCATGGCATAGTTTACCAGCAAGGAGCCCAATGGCTCTTCATCATCATCTGAGTCTGACTCATCTTCAGGCATGTTTGCTGCTATTCCAGCAGTGGTGGGGTGTTTGCATAGGTCTGGGAGTGTGAGCTGGCCTGGTTTTGGAGCTGCAGAGCGCTTGGGTCAGCTTGGCTGAGGGGTAGGATCAGACTCTATGTCTGTGAGTGGAGATTCTGGATGTTCTGGGTGAGTTTCAGTGAGATTTTCTGGTTTGTCTGGTTGATTTTCAGTGGGCTGAGGGACTGTAGATGACTTTGGAGCCTGAGAAGAGTCGATATCTTCATCCTCCCCCTCAACGACAAATGGTTCTGGAGTCAGGTCTTCCTTATTAAAGTAAACATCATGTTCAATGGTGACCCTTCACTTTCTGGGCCAGTAAATCCTCCAGCCTTTGGCTTCAGTATCAATTCTCACAAAGCGAGCCTCAATAGCATGTTCCCCCAGCTTTTCCAGTGTCTTTACTCGAACCCAGCAACAACATCCCCATGGACAAAGGCCAGAGATGTTGGGCTTTCTGCCGGTTGCCATCTCAAACAGGGTTTTCCCTGATGGTATTGCTTTCATTGGAGTGTGGTTGTAGACCCATTCAGCATGCCAGTGAGCTTCAGCCCATAGATATTTTGGTAATCCTGAACTGATTAGGAATGCTCTTGTCATGTCCATCAGATACCCATTGGAACATTTGGCAATTCCATTTGACTGTGGGGAATCATGTACAGTAAGGTGATACTCTGTTCTCTTTGATTTGAGGTGCTGAGTGAACTCTTTGCTTAGGAATTCTCCCCCTCGATCCATACCCAGAATCTTTATGACTTCGACACCTTGCTGGACCTTGATCCAGATTTCATAGCGCTTGTACAACCCAAAGATACCTGATTTCTTTGATAGGTACTCGGATTTTGACTCATGAGTGTGTAGGTCATGGTATGTGCAGGCATAGCATGCTCCTCCAAGTGATACGACAGACATCAGGCCCATCAAGTCTCCAATAACCTTGTCACCAGTGTTCTTGACATACTCATATTGGCCCTGCTTGGGGAATGGTTTGCATTTCACTTTGGCCTTCACACAGGTCTCGCAAAATTCCGGTTTGGAGTCCAGATCAAGCTCAATTCCCTCGATATGGCCATCAATATACATGCGGCAGAGGGTGGCATGGCTTCAGTGAGCACAGATATTGTGTAGCTCAGTGATGTTCACCTTGAGCTTACCTGCCGCCATAGCGACATCTGGTTTTGCTCCTGTGGTCTGGCGTGTACCTGGGGTTGAGATGATGTATAAGCCTCTGGCTTTGGGGATCTTGGCTATGATCTTAGCATTGGGTCATGGTGTCCAGATATACATGGTATGGTCAGTGAGTTCAATGTGGATGGGAAATCTGACGTGGCTGACATGTGATAGGGATATGAGGGTGTATGCCATTTTCAGTGCATGGTACACATTCCAAAATCTCACAATAGTGGGCTTCTGACCTTCACCCATAGGTAATGATAATTGAAGGTCCCTTTTACCTACTGCATAGAAGACTTCTCTGTTTGCAGCTTTGATGGGCTTCAGGTCAATGTTGGAGTAATTTTTGAATCTTCAGTGTTTGGGTGAGTATGTTTTCGAAGCTCCACAATCAGCTATTGCTGTAACTTCTTCTCCCCTTGCTACATGAGCATCACCCTTGGCCTTGTAGTCCAATGTGCACATTAAGGCCACATTTAGGTCATTGTTGTCATCAGCTATGACCACAATAATGTGCTCATCATCACTTTCGTCAATGGCTGCTGATGCTGACTCCTTTGCCTTCCCTTTTCCTTTAGCCTTGTTCTTTTTCAAAGCTGGGCCCTGACCTTCCTTTCCACCACCCTCGCTCCAACAGTCCACAATGAGATGACTGGTTCTTCCACATGCCGGGTTCGTGCATTTAAGGTGGGATCTGTCTGGCTTTTTCTTTGACTTTCCTCTGGAGCCCTGACCTTTCCCCTTGTTCTGTCATTGTGCAGACATTGCCACATTCTCAGCTGTGGCCTTTGATGCTACTTCTTCATCCCATTCTTCTTGCAGTGCTGCAACAAGGATGTCCAACATGAGGGGCTTTTGAGTAAATTTGCTGGCAGTGGAGAGGGTGTGGCAGATGTGGTCATAGGAAGGTGGGAGTGATTTTTGGATCATTGAGGTGTACTGATTGTCCTTGATTTTCAGGCCTATGCCCTCAATACATTTGCAGAGAATCTTCATCTCACCAAGGTGTTCTCACATGTTGCCTTCATCAGGGCAGGACATGTTACTGAGTCGGGTAAGGAGGTGTTCGCATATGAGATCGCCCTTGCCAGTCATGACAGCAATGAGCTTTTTCCAGATGAGAGCAGCTGTTGCTTCGCCCTTGATCTCATTGAAGGTAGAGTCAGAGATGGATTCATAAATGATGGTGCACATCTTTGCCTCTTTCTGCTCATACTCTTCAAGCTTATCCTCCAGCTTCTCCAGGTCATCATCCGAGAGGGGGTGCAAAAATGCAGTGTCAGTTGACCAGTAAAATTTTCCCTTGTGCTCAACTGGGTGAGGGGGTACACGAGCAGTTCCTCATAGGTGTTGGCCTAGACCCTTGTCCAGAAACTTGTTGGTGAGTTTTTCTTCGAATGCTACCCAGTTTGATCCATCATCTGTGAGCTTTGTTGTGCTGACTAGCTTTATGGCAGTTGTCATTGACATGCTGGTAGTGGGGCCCATAACCTGTTGGAGTTATGAGGTAGGTGCTCAGACATGGTAACAGAAGGCAGGCTCGAGAGAAAAGGAGTGAGCGATGCTGAATAAGACAACATTGTGTCAATCTCAGCATGTTGGTAAAAAGCTATGTATTATATACCTGAATAAGTAGAGAAAACCAAGGGTATGGTGGGTTTTGCCGGGTACTGGACCCTTACCCAGCAGGTATGGGTACGGGTTGCCTTTGCTGGATGGTGGCTGTACCTGTGCCATGATCCTGGGCTTTTTCAAGGGTATTTTCATCATAGATCACCTGTAAATGATTGATTAGATCGAAATAAACAATTTCGGATGCCATCAAAAAATGTGTGACTGCGCCATGACTCCGACCCATGCTGAAACCCATGCAGGTCCCAGGTATGGGTCAGCTGGGTATGGGTATGGGTTGGCTTCATGGCACCCATGGGTTACCCGTGGTGAACCCTATGAATAAGACAATGTTGTGTCACTACAATATGATAAGTATGTTACCAGGGCGAATATATGTAGAAGTACTCACATCTCAGCATGTTGGTAAAAAGCTGAGATGTGAGGCTGTGCATCGCAAAATGAAAAAGGCAAGAAATATCAAATATGTGTCCATGTGCATCTTGTACCACTACTACTATGTCTAACAACTTCTTCATCCCCTGAAACATCAACAAGATACCCAAGAGACCTGGGAGGCTGTCGAAGTGGACGTAATCCAGGTGGAGAGAGGTTATCTGAGATGCTATAGCAGCGAGTGTGTGCTCGAACGATGGTGTGCATTAGTGTATGTTGGGATTTGGCAATCTGGCATCATGCCGAAGTTGCTTATTAAGGTAGAAGTCGTAGGAAAAGCATGGAAAGTTCTAGTAAAAGTACATTTAGTATAAAAGTAGGTACTGTAGCGTAGATCCTCATGCGTTTGCAGAGCTCAGCCAAGCGCAATACTATTGGCTTGCTACCGCGCATGTGACACTGGGAACGAACCGATACCCCGTTTTCCAACAGTGTACGCATGAAGGGTTCCTCCATCAGAGGGCACGTATTTCTAGGGAGGTTAAGTTCGGCAGCGAGGCGGGGATGGTAGGCAGAGCAGGGTCATGTGATACCCGTTGTTTATCATGCGCTGTCTTCCATAAGAGCTCATCGATGAGGTCGTTCATCATCATAAAGTCTCCCTCCGAGTTGTCCTTGTCGCGAAACCCACATTCCGCTTCGATCCATAGGGACTTGACCAAATCGCCGACATATGGGAGGAGAGGAAGGAACTGTCTGGCCGAGTTGGGCCGGGATGGATGTCCGATGGTTATCCTGTTGAAGAGGTGTGTGTGTGAGGGAGGGAAGAACGTTTTGTAGACGAGGGTGCAAGAGGCGAGGGTGTTAGGGTCGTGTGCATGTCGATGATGAGGTCGGTTAGTTCGGGTGGGACATACATGGTCGATAGGTCAGATTGGTGTCTCAGTGCGCCGTCCTGAGACAGGTGCTGGTATATCGTGAAGATATACTTCACCGTAACGGACCCTTGGCGCAACCCATTCGCGCATCTGGTGATTGAGCGACCTGCCCTTGCATGCATCCCGCACGCTTCCTGCACACATCGCTGTTTAATTATAGAACACTACCTATCCACAACCCTCTGCCTATCCTCGACCATCGATACCATCCCCGCACCATCTGCATACCTCCCATCCTCTCTCCACCCCTCGCATCGACCCCGCATGACATCCCTGAACCTGCCATCAGCCCTCTCTCGTAGCAAAACACCGAACAGATCGACGTACCTCTCCCTTCTTTTCGCGTCGACTTCATTCCTGCACCAGAGGCATACTCGTGTCCCTAAATATGAAACGATTAGCTGACGAAAATGCGAGGAAACTCAAGCGTACCTTTTTCAAGGACTTGGCCTTGTGAACTACTCCATTGTTGCTACCTTTGTGCAGTGGCTAAGCAAACATGAGGACGATGCACACGGGAAAGGGCAGTCCTCTCGTTCTTTGGCGGAAAATCAGTAAGGGATCACAAAGCAGCAGCATAAGGACAAATACCTTTCCTTCCGCAGTCCTCTCCGGTACCCTTCAAGCTACTGTCCAGATTCAAGCCTAGCAATACCCGTTAGTAGACGACTGTGAGGAAATGTCTTCAACGTACCGTTCAATATCATGCTCTCTCCTTCTCGCAGCATTGGACTATGCGAATCCGAGTCAAGAAAGCTTAAAACACAATATCTGGTTAGTAGACGCCGGCAGGGAAAAAGCTCATACGTACCATTCAATGCCATTGTTGTCTCTCCGCGGCAACATTCCGTACAAACCAACACTCAGTGTATGAAGGTCGACAGTCTTGAGGCACCTTCAACGACCAGTTATGTGCAACCTTGAGCCTGGTAACCAACAACAATCAGTCTCCTAGCTCAATGGTGAGGGAGAATGAACATACCTTCAGCAATATGATATGCGAGTAGTCCACCGGCTTGTCATTGATAGCCTTGACCTTGTAAGAGTTAGCAGCGAGTAGGGGGAAAAAATAAATAAAACGCACCATCGAACCTTTTCCCTGTAACACGAGGCGTCGACCTAAGCCGAGAGCGAGTAAACGAGCGGAGGGAGAAGAGAGGAGACGGGAAGCGAAGCGAAGTGGTGGGAGAATGGAGTTGGGAGAAATTCTCCCCAGCCTTTATATGTGGAAATTTCTGCGGAGATGTAATGTCAGTAAAGTGCACAGACGGCATTCGGTGAACATAATAACAAACTCGCCCATTTGTTTCCGAAATCAAATGTTAATTGATCACTTTCGCACCAACTGAAATGTTGACTTGATTGTCGCAGTTCTTGCCCGAGGTTACTCATACGGCATTAGCGGAGAGGTGTCTTCAGTGTTGACAGTATCTACACTCGAAGCATTTGCCATTTGATGTTCGGTGCTTGTGCGGGACATCGGATAAATTGATTGCAACTTGGAACTTTCAAATGCCATCGTGATGTCGCCTATACGATGCCATTTCCTGGAATCGGCATCTATTCCAAAATAGAGGATGCGCTTGGCTGACATCTGCTCAGCGTGATGTGGAGATTTGGGAAGAGGAGACAGAGGCCGAATGAAACAGTACTGGTGAAGCAGAGAGTGTGGACCTCCTGTTATGCATATAGTCAGCAATGTGGACACCAACGGAGAGAAAGACGTACCCGATGATCCTTGAACACAATTTTCCTTGATGATTTTCTGTGTCTTCTTCCGCTTCCCGTGGATGCGCCGTGATAGGTATACTATTAGACACGCTGCTGAACGTCTGGAGGCGAGAGCGTGTAACAGTGATCAAGTCCCTACGCCAAGATGGATGCGACAGCGCAGTGATCTTGCTTCGTATCTGGCTGAAATCTTCGCGACGACAGCCAGGTTTGATCTCGAAGGACGTATGGATGAACACCTGCCTGTAAGTTAGCAAACAAGTCGAAACGAAAAAGGAGGCAACATACCGATAACAAATCAACACCTGACCGTCAGTTCTTTCAATCGGGTATTCTGCGTTCCTCGCACACACTTCCTGTTAGCACTACACATCCAGTCCTCTCTACACCTCTATAGGCTCTCATATATGCTCTTGACGAAGTCGAATACCGTCTCATATTGTCCTGTAGGGTACTTGGAGAGGTGCAACCATAGAGTATGTGTGTTGATTATTATGGTCCGGGAGGTTGACGCGTGCTAGGAGAAGCCTGAAGCCATCAGAATCAAGAGTTTGTTTTACTGTAGATGAGGGTAGGCATGAAGAATTATGGATGGGAGCCGGCGAAGGACAATAGAACCGAGAGCAAACTGCCAAATGGGCCGGAATGTGAGTTTTGGACAAAAAGACACGTGCCGGACGACAGAGTAAACGCCTATCGTAACGATATGTCAGATTTAGGCAAGTCAAACGAATACAACGCGTACCACAGATGGTGCGGAAGAGACAGAGACGCGTCACATGCTCGTCGCTAGCACTTGATTAAGTACTTTGTGCGACGATGCACAATGGCGTCTTCCAAATAAGCATTAATAGCAGCCTTGGGGGCCACCCACTCACTTCGCTATTCGCAAAGAACCAATCATCTTGATGATCGAGCCTTTTCCCAACCCCGTCCTGCTGCTCCTCTACTGCTGAGTTGCACCCCATAGCACTCTTTCTCACCATGCTCCGCATCCCACCCCTCGCCTATAACCCCTGCAACAAACTCTACCGTCATCACTGAATGCGAGAACGGCAACCTCGACTGCTTGGGCTCTAACGTGCCATGCACGTTCGCTGGGACCGTATACGGCGCACCAGGATCTGCTTGTCATCGGAGGATGCATCTGCTTACAGGTGTTGAGGGATACTCGAAGGAGATGTCGATGAAGTAGTGGATGGGGACCTATTGTTATGCATATAATCAGCACTATTTACATTGACAGAGAGAAAGACGTACCCCGTAGTCCTTGATATGATCCTTTCTGTGTCCTCTTCTGCCTCCAGTGCATACACCGTGATCAATCTACTGCTATCCGTAGCTACAGGGCGAATACCCGCTGCTGGACATCCATTTAATGTTAATCGAGTCCAAGACCGAGACATGATGGATGTGACAGCGCAGCGAAGATCTTGGATTCCACAGCAGGAGTAACCGATTTTGCTTCGTGTCTGGATGGAGATTATGACGATGGGAGCCAGGTTCAATTTGAATTTGCGGGATGTACGTGTCGGGTCAACACATATTGCTTGCGGGTTAACAAGAAAGTCGAAGCAAACACCGAAATAGCTTTCCTATGTGCTTAGCAATATGCACTCCTCTTTGTAGAACGACAAGATGTCGTTTGAAGCTGCATCCGCACAGAAGAATGTTATGCACGATCAAGATATAACGATTCTTGCTAGCCCACCCAGTTTCCGTGAAACGCACAGAAACATCGGGACAGCAGAGACCTTTGGCAGAGAGACATCCACGCATGCCGACACGCTTGACAGTGATGGCATTGACTGCTCCTTATCCTCGGCGGCGATAGCGATTTGACTTCAGGGAAAGGGGAGGGGTTACGTACGGAATCGAAGGAGATCGCCTTTGGCTTGTGCATGTCAATGGATTTTCTTGTGTCGACCTAGTCTTGTGACCAAACTGTATAAGAAGGCGAGCTGTCGATATACAATGCGAGAAAGGCAACGTCGACTCAAGAGCGCAATACACGTTCGCCGGAGCCATGGATAGCATGTCAGTCTCCAGCAAGATCCCCTTGTTATTGGTGGTCGACATTGTTTGGCGGTGTTGAGTGTAGTAGAGGATTGGGAAATAGCCCAAGAGGCAGACACCAAATGAGGATGTGTTGATGAAGTAGGCAATGTGGAGCTAGAAATAACTGTTGGCTTAGAACAAGGATAGATGGTCAAGGCAGACGTACGCAGAGGTCTTTGGGTATGATTTCCTTCATAATTCTCTGCCTCGTCCTGCCTCCGTTGTAAGCACCGCAATAGGTATGCGTTCCACGGCTATCTGTGGTTGTTGGGCAAATACTCGTTGTTACACGTCGAGAGAGGGTGCAATGGTGATTTCACAAGACCAGCATACGATGGATGCGCGAGTGCGGCAAGAATGGTAGGGACAAATGATTTGCGTCATGTATGGGTGTGGATTATAGCCACGAGAGCCATGTTTGTTGTCGAAGGACGTACTGATGAACACCTGCCTGTGAATTAGCAAGGAAATCAAAGCGAAAGAGGAAGGAACGCACCGATAACGAATCGATACTGAACACCCTCCTATTTCCCATCCGCGGCCCAGCTCTTTCCACGTTCCTCGCATGAACGCCTCCAGGCTCGCACCACACACCGATTATCGTCTCTACACCCGCATACACGCCCTTGACAAAGTCAAACGCGGTCTCATATACCGCCCTTCAGGGTATCTCCAGCGAAATGACGCAAATGTGGAGAGAAGATGTGTATGGGTATCGATTATTGTGAGTTGACATGTGCTGAGAGAAGCCAGAAATCATCAGGCCGTGAGGAGGGAGAGAGCTCTTTCTCTTGTTAGTTTCTGCCCATCCGGGTGATGGAGGTGGACGCGAAGGATGTATGTGGGTGTGAGAGACGTTCCAAGAAGCAAGTCAAAGAATAGTCCTGAAATGGAAGTTCCGGACAAGAACCTCCAATTTTCGTACAAGCCTGCAGCGATTTTTCCTTTTCACTTCGACGCCTCCATCTGACTTTGGAATTCTCTCCAGCAATGCCGACGCTAGCAACATCACTATGGTCGCCGACAAATTTTACGAAACATAAAATTTTAGACCAGATGAAAGCAGAGTGCGGTAGGATGGGCTCGAGGGGCACAGGGACATGCAATTGGAGGAAGGGTAGGTGTGGTGATGCCCTCCCAGGGTTCTCGGGTGCTTTGGCGACGACTGCGGGGCTAAAGAGGTCGACGCGAGGCTGAGGTGATTATGGCACCGTGACGTCCGATGGCGGTTTCAGAGTAAGTGAGAGTGGAGGTGAGCACGGTGGGACGCTTGGAAGTGGTTGAGCTGCCGATTACGAGTACGTGGGTGATGTGAGGGTCGAGAGGTGCAATAGGATGCAGATAGAACTGGTGAGCGTTATGTATGGAATCGAAGGAGACCGTCTTTGGTTTGCGCGTGTCGACGGATTTTCTTGTGTTGACCTAAACGAAATGGACCACATCTAAAATGATGAGTATGAGACTTGGAAAAAGGTAAGAAGCTGACGCACCAGG